ACTGAAAAACAAGGAAGAGGTCAGAGCAGAGATCAGTGGTTGGACAATGCAATTCTGTCTAGCTCTCAATCTGGAAAAGTTATGTCCACTTTAGTCACAAGTGTACAGCAGTCACAGAAACTCTAGAACAGTTCAGGCTTATCCACACTGGTCTTATAACTTGATCAGATCAGGGGTCAGTTTTTATTAATGGATCCAATGAAACTATTTTACATTGTCTGTGTCAATACAGTTTGGGGGTTATCCTGAAAAGCTAAAGACACTGCCCAGAATACAGGAATATACTGTACTTTTTATTTACATTATCTTTATCGTATGAAGATGGTAGCCTCTTGATCTCTACAAACTAAACCACTGCAGGGCTAAATACGAAGAAGGACATGTAAGAATAAAAGATTTAGTGTCATTTGGATGTCCAACGCTACAGCAGCTCCTCCTGGCTCCGCTCCAGTTCATGATGCTCCTCTCTTGTCTGTCCTTTTTTAATAGTATCAGCATTCCATTAGCTGATTAAACTGGCCCCCATCTCCAATCTATATCACAGGCTGATACTGCGGCAATTTGCCTCATAGCGCAATGCACCAACATTGATGTTAACTTGATAGGAGCCAGTGTTCAATTAAATGTGTTAAAAAGAGAGCATGGTTAACAAATTAGGGGAGAAAAAGTTGGAAGGATATTTAGTTAGGCGAGTAGCTACTAAGAGGTTTGACCACACGGTTCCTGCATCAGTCAGATTGAATCACACATATATGGAAGATATATTTTCCGGCTTTCTCGAGTAAAAGCAAATGCACTTTGGTCTGTGGGTTAATGCATTACTGTAAGTGATTGGTCTAATGAATGTGTACATTCACTTTTTTAAAAGAGTAAAAGACAATGCATTGCTATTATGCCAAGAGCTGCACCAATTACTCAGAATTGAGTCTGAGGGAGCATTGTCATGAAAAAAGGGCCTTTTATTTCTGGGAAACAGCCGCAGCATGTTAAATTGTCCATCAAGTTGGAATTCATTAAATAAACTGCCAAATGAAAAAGACATTTGAGAATCAACAAAAATGATTACAAGCAGTAGTCCTATTTGAGTGTTCAAAAGGATCCATAGGTTGTTTCTTTTAATTATTTTACCTATTCAGATAAGATTACAGAAGTGCATTAATTACTATATAAATTCAGAAGATTGTTTGGTATTAAATCATCTGTGAACCTCTGCATACAATCATATTTAAAACGGTCTTCTCACTACAGGGTGGCTTATCAAGACTATCATCAATCCCCGGAAATACGTTTTCCCATCCTCAGCAATATGGTACCAGCTGCATCATTGTTATGGATACATTAGATCAACAGAAGATGAAGAGGAGATGGAAACAGGGAGGGGGAGTAGAGAAAGAGAAAGGGGTAAGTGAAATAGATGAGTTAGAGAAAGAAGGGGCAGAGGAGAGGAAGATACATGTAGAATAAAGAGGAAGTTAGCGTGAGATGGTTTTCAGTGTGCAGAGAGAAACCGAGAGATGTTGACCGTAAGCATAAAGGAGAACAAGTAAAAACACGAGTTAGCAATTTGAGATGAATAAATAGTATCATACCTCCTGAATCTGTAGTTTCCCATCAGCAGTGACATCATAGGCGGACATAAACCTTTGCTTCAGCTTCTGGACCATTTCTTCAGTCACTTTCTCCTGTGGACACACAATAGGTTTGGATGACACATCGATTTTTGCCCTAGGTCCACAATTCAACTGGACAGAGACATGATGATGATACAGTACATGATGGGGCAACGTGCTATAGTAAACACAGTTAATTGTACTAAAAAAGACTTGTTCCATAACATTGATTCCCTTTAGCCACATGTTTGAACTCTTGGAAAATAACAATATTAATGGTTAACAGTTAACTTGATGAGTCAGTTATTTTAAGCCATGTCACCATGGATACTATTTTAAACACTCATTCTTTTTTCTCTCATGTACTGCTTACTCAAGGCTTACTCTCTGTAAAGCACTCATGTAGCTCACTCAGTCTTTAAAGTGATAACTACAGATACATTAAATGAAAAAGCAAGAGTAGTTTGTTGCATGCTAATCTGGGTTAAGAATCACATTTCCTTTTCCTGTCAAGACCAGGCTCTCTGTTTTTCAACCACAGCTCAGAAAAGAAAGCACGAAGCAACTCAAGGCAAGATATTTTTCAGCCTTTGTAGTTACTTTGAAACATTTTTTAGAAGCTAATTGTCTAGTCTCTTTGGAAACCATCCATCACCGATCTGTAACTATAGAAACCTGTTGATCTGGGGTGCTGAAGTGTGAATCATGGATTCGTGCAGGGCAGAGCACACAGTCTGCAGACAGCCAGGTGCCAGATCCCTGCTCATTACAGAGACACCACTTTATCTTCAGCATCAGCTTTCTATCAGACTGCACCAGTAATCTCCTGTTGCTAAGCAGAAGTTTGAAAAGCACATATTAATATTTGACTTAATGCACACGATCAACGCAAGGTGCACTGCATAACAAACCCATGTGTTCAGGTTTATATTACAGAGTATCTCATGCAAATTCATCAAATTGCATTTGAGCAAATCATTTAAACTGTGGTAATACAAGAAGGTAAAATCTGCATAAATACAGAATATTTTGCCCCAGAGGAAGTTCAAAAAACATAATGATATAAAGGAACCATTTGGTAAATATCCCCCAATGGAGGAATAGAGTATAATAGAATGACTGCAGAATTACAAATACACAGCAGTACTTATCCTGGGGGCATTTATGATGGAGAGCAAACATTAGAGAGACATGTGGTCCGTGGTCTGTTTGTTTTAGTAAAACCCCATTAGTGTCCGAGGGAGTCCAATCACAAGCAAACACACACTGGAACATGGACTAATAGCTGTAGGGATATTTGGTTTCTATTATATCCGGTTGGGGACTTTTCCTTTGACAGTAGCCAGAGCTCTTTAATTGTGTTTTTCCTGACATCGTTACAGTCTGTCCAGATAACTGCATGAGCTTCAGCTGCCCGCACAGATCAGTGTGGCAGAGTCTGGGTGCAAAGTCAAATGCATTTCCAAGGAACTAATTTAAGATGTAATCTTGGCAAATGGTGTCTTATATTAAATGTTTAACCAAAACATAAGCAATTGGATTACCCTTTTATGCAGATCATTAGATTTAATTGCAACTTGAAAAACAATTGTTGAGTACTAGTAGATCAGGCACATGAACAAATAGGAAGATTAGCTAAGAAATAAAGCAACTGTATGTCTTAATTCTCCTTCTCAAGTACAGACATTATTCTGAATACTCAAACCAACATCCATGCATAATTCAAATGTAATTATATCACCTTTCTCACTTGGTTTGAACTAAGTGTAGAAAGAGTAAGTTGCTTTGACCCTATCGAGTTGCTGCCTTGTGATTGGGTGATGAGATATTGTTACGGTGAGTGAAGCAAGCAGGACCCAAATGCAGATAACGCTGAAAAAAGCCTTTATTTCAAGGATAAAATAAAAATAACTTGGACAAAACAGAACTCTCACCGGTGAACTCATTCACAAACAAAAGACGAACCAACACTGAACAGAGGAAGGGAAAAGACTACATACAGGGAGGGGTAATCACAAGACGAGAAACAGCTGGGCGGGGGAGGAGAAACACAAGGGCAACAGGTGAACACAATCAGACAATTAGACACACCAGGAAAACTAACGACAGGGGAAAGACACAGGAAGAAGGACCAGACAATATACAAGGAAGAAAACACCCAAAACAAGACATACAAAACGTGACATAACACAATAATCGTAACAGATATTTGCGTTATTAAGCTTTTGAACAGGTGTAGCTAATAAAGTGACTGGTGAGTAGATATATTGACACAGTAAAGTAGCATTTTCAAATACAAATTATATTGCGGTGCGTGTTGCATGCACAGTGCATGCAACACGCACCGCAATATAATTTGAGTGCATGATGCACTCTATTAAATGGCTGTCGTCACAATTCATGGATTAATTCATCCAAAGTGGTGAGTATTGACACAGTAAAGTAGCATTTTCAAATACAAATGATATTGCGGTGCGTGTTGCACTAAATGGCTGACGTCACAATTTATGGATTAATTCATCCAAAGTAGTCTCACCTGTGGACTCAGTTTCTTCATCATGTGACGGAAGAAGTCATCAAGCTCTTTGTCCTCAATGTAGCCATTATCTGTCAAATAAAAAACATTTGAAAGATCAAGTGAAGAGAGTCTGATTTCCCCCCCAAAAAAATCCCAAATTTCCCAATCAATAAAGTACTATCTTATCTTAAAAATACTGAGTAAAAACCATAGGTAAAAACGTATGAATTCACTTCGCCACCCGATCACTACACAATTATTTCCATATTCTAAGACTTGTTGCTCAATGTTCAGATTTGAGACATATACATTTATACTTTTTTCAAACAATTACATAGGGTTGTGCTCTCTTCAAATATAGTGCCAGAGGACATAGTTATTTTGCAATGTCAACATGCATTTTAACCACAAGAACTTCAATTACATCCCACAACTAGAACTCAAAGTAGTCATCACAGAGAAGGGTTGTCTGTCTAGTAACAGCAGAAGATGCATTTTAAAGTACTGTGCTATCTGTAGATGAAGAAAATGGATCAAAAAGTATGAACAGTTTAAATATCCTCACCATCTGCATCAAAGTGTTGCCAGATTTCCAGGAAACCAGCTGCATCCAGGTTATCAAAAGCAGTGTCCATGTTGATAAGAAAAGGCAAAGTAAGCTGTCAACTGAGGAGTGAGGTGACAAGTTGTGTTGCACTGCTTGGATGCTTGGCTGACATATGCTCTTTCTGACTTGTGAAAACCACACCTTCTCTGGGTGAGTGACAGAGAGAGAGAGGGTATACCGTAGGATTGTATTTGCCATCTGGTGGCTGTATTATTACACTGCAAAGCATCTTCAACAAATGTCATAAAAAGAGAATGCAGATTAAAAAGCTTGTAAAATTATTTTATTCAATATTATTTGCATGAAGAAATGTCCAACACCAGCAGAATGACTTAATGAAACATTGATCCGTAACAAAATGGAACAAATAACATATCCAGACTGATAAATAGCAAACATGTCATTTGCATTTTATTTTTCCAGCTCAAGGAAAACAGTCATTGTTTTGCATCATTTATTTTTTGAATCATAAAGAAAGAAACATTAAATTGATTACATGTCATAACAAATTAATACGTACACATAATTAATTTCTACATTTATCAACACAATGTACATGTGAAAGGAAAAACAAAGGATCAAGACATACATGGCCACTGTGTTTATTCCAAATAAGTTACAAACAAACCCCTAGTATAATAGTGTACTTAGTAGCAAAACAACATAGGATTTGCCGTGTTCACATAGGCGTGTGAATGCATCACAGTGTGTATATTACACATACGTATACACACTCCTACATGTATGAAAGCACATATATACAAACAGTACAACTCACATCATGCAGTCATACACACATATACTCAGGAGTCTGGACTCAATGTTACTTTTCACTTTCTCCACTCCATGCACCAACAGAAATGAAACTGATTCTCATTTTTCTGATTTGAATCTTTCACAAAACTTGACAGAAACACAGCCAGCTGCTTCTGAAATCCCAAACAGAGAGAAGAGGGTGTCCATGTTATTTTAGTACATACTGCAAAGTAGTTTTATTTTCTTCCCTGTGTCCTGGAACATCTTTCAAATTAAAATAGATTTTTGAGACAGACTTAAATGGAAGCAGTTGTTGACATCAGACACTATAATAACTATTTACAACAGTAACAGTGTTATTTCCCGATCCATGATGAGTGACAAAGAAACAGAATGTTATCATAATAAACCTACAAAAAAGACATCGATAGACACCATAGGTAAAGGTGCACCAGTAAGACCTTTGGCCCTGACTTTATTTAGACTCAAAATACAAGTTGTGCCCCTTTCACACTGCAAATGAAAAGCGATGTCAGGTGCACGTTCAGTATTAATGCTGGAGCACAGTTTGCCACACAACAACTAGATAGTCAAAAGTAAAGGTAATTCCAGTGTTTCATCCAAGTTGGATTCAAATATGTGATACAGGGGTATAATGCTGCATTCACATCATAATGGCAAAGTTGATTTGGTAAAAGTTTAAACATACTCTGCATTGGTAAAATAGCACTATAGCAATTTAATTGACAAGAGGAATCCACGTTTGTTAGTTTTTAAAGTATAATAGCAGAAAAAATCCAAGATTCTTATTTATAATTACGACTTGAATAATTCTGATATTTTTTGGGTAATGAAGGTAACTAAAAAAAGACATGTAAACAGCATGTTATAAAACAAATGTGAATGAATGTCCGTCCTAACCTGCGTATCCAACATTATTATAACTGCATTACTTTCATTTAAAGGTTACAATCCAATGCTAAGAGTCTAAACTGTACATTGATGTATACGTTGCCACACATCTCAGTTACCATTTTTTAAAGCTTTTCTCAATTAATGATAAGATGAATTCTTTGCACATATGGTTATTTTGGGGATCTGTTTGTTGACTACCTAGCAGTGTGAAAAGGGCATTTCTTGCACTTAAAAGACAAAGATGAGAGGAGTCTGCCTGAGACTTGTTGCTGAGGAACAAAGCAAATATGAACTGAATTGAAATCCCTGGATGTCAGGTTGGCAGTGTTTGAAGGCTGGAGTTCCCTCAGTGTCGCGCTTTTACACAAAGATCACACAAAATAGCTTCTGAAATGGAAAGCAAATGTCAGTGTTTTTTTGTGTTCCTCTTTTTGAATAAGATCTTTGCTTTCATTGGACCATCAGCACACCAGGGGAATGTAATGTACGTGTGAGGAATCAATCCGTCTTTTAAGAGCAATTCAGAGTCTCTATGACTGTGACAAACACTGGCACACCTCACTTTAAAAGTCTCATGTGAGTGTACCAGCAAACAATTAAGCTATTCGGTTTTGTTTACTTGACAAAAAACCCCACTACAGACATGTTTATGCTGGAACTCTGTATTGCACTTTAATGACAGGCGTCTACTAGACACACTTTCTTCCTTAACACAGAGAACAGTGTTAGTTAACAGTGCTGGAGCCGTATTGGTTGGTTTTTAGTGAAGTTAAAGTGTACTACAGTCCTCTCAAAGCAACACTTCATATGGTCACTCCAACTCTCCTACACAGAGACAGTATCCTTCAGGGAAGAGAACGGTGAGTCTCCTCTTAGTGACATGTAGATTAGCTGTTAGGCAAGCTACATCAAGTGTATATGTTGATTGATGATGGGCCGAGATTCTCAGCTGAACCTGTACTATCCTGGAAAATAAATGTCAAAGAATTGCATAATGGATTCAGTCACCTCTGAAGTCCGGAGAGAAGTAACTTGCACATACTGAAAAAAATAACATGTAGAAAAATCTATACAAATGCCATTGGGGCCTGGTCTGGTTGTATGTTGGAGTTCAAGTAGAGAACAGTGATCCTGGTGATGTTGTTACATGTGTCTGGTCCCTGGGAGACAAGCTAAAACAACAACATGTTTCATTATTAGTCAAAGACCATGAGTGTTTTCAATAAACACTTTCAATGTCTGTCTTTTGCACATAAAGTCTGCTGGTTCCTGAAGCATCTATTTTTTTCTTAGTGGTTTACAAAGGTTTTAGTATTTATTGGTTGTATATGCTCGGTCCCCCTAGGAAACATTTCTTAATATCCTGAAAACGTTACTTTCTGAAACATGAGATTTTATCTGAAAGCAAAGATAAGGAAGCTCTTAGGAGAATTAGCACAGTTTGGTTTAATAGGTGACATGTGATGGAACATTACCCCCAAGTGTTAATAATAATTGTTTTATCATAATTACCAAACTTTTTATTTGAAACTGTGTATTACCTGATATATTTCAGTAGGTCTTCCTGAAAACCAAACTAGATTTGTAATATAAATGAAAACATATCTTTAAGATTCCCACTTAGTTGCTTTTTAAAGGAAAACATGTCAGTCTTGTCAACGGATTTCTGTAGTTTTTTGTCTTACTTATATTAAAATAAAGTCTTTATCTGCCTCCTCCCCAGAGTCTGATGACTTATTGCCCGCTGCCTTGTCCTTGTCTTGTTTTGGACATTGGTCCTTCGTCTTGAAGGAGCCGTGATCCTCAGAGTTGACACGGAGACGGCCAGGTCGCTGAAGGGAGTCTGACACCGAGCCTTTCCTCACTGAAAGCAAGAGAAAGGTCAAGATGAACATGACAGACAGACTATCGACAATTTTCGAGCAAGAGAAAGGAAGGGGGAGAAGTGAAGAAGAGAGGGAATCTGGAAATTATGGATTATTTTTAGATAAAGCTTTTTTTAGTTACTGCTGCAGTCAGCTAATTTGCCATAGCTAGCCTAAAAGTCAGTTGAAACATAAAGTGAAGCAGGAAGGGATTTAAAGCACCTCAATCACACCTGCTTTTTAACATTGACCCAAATAGCAGACCCAGAGGGCTGAAAAGCAACCGAGACAAGACACATGCAGCCTACTCACTGTGTGTATAAATGGACATTGTTAAAACGGCCCCCTCCAGCTTTTAAGACTCTCTGGATTTATAACAATTTCAAAAGAAATTCTAATTTGGCGAAGAGTGGGAATTATGGCCATACACATGAATTAGATGTGTTTACCTCTGACAGGCCCCAGAGGGCGTCACTGATAACAAACACAGGAAGGAAGAAAGAGCAGAGAGAAGAAAGTCTAACCAAAGAGAGGATGTATATAAGAACATCAGAGGGAAGGGAGCAAAGACAGACAGATAAACATCCCCAAGCTGCCAGGCTTCTGTTACATAATAGATACAACTGCTGTCAGACCCTGACAGTGACATCAAGCATCCTCCTGTCTATCTAGGAACAATCTGCTCTGGGCAAAAGACAGTTTTCCAGTCAAAAAGAGAAAAGTATGTTTGTAAGAAGATGACATCTAGATGTTTTATCTATTATTAATTGCAATGCAGTTGAAATCTTTATTTTTTTCATTAACACCACTGCATGAATGGGCTACCTGGAGATAGTCAAAGATTTTGTGACCCACCATCCTGAGTGGTTTTGTTAGCAGAGCCTGCTGACTGCAGACCGGTCTGGCCTTCTTTCTCGTTCTCTGACACTGTCTTCTTCAGCGTGGAAGGAAGAACTGAGACCTTAGGAGACCCAGGCCCACTGCTTGGAAGATCTGAAATATCATCTGTAAGGAAAATTATAACAAAAAAATATTATCAATTTGTCATTCATCCATCCACATATTCTTGCAGGAAGATAAAAAAAGAATCACGATAGCAAAAATCCCCTCGGTGCGGCATTAGCTCAATGTCGTACCGATGCTCCTGCTGGTGCTGCTGGTCCTGGGCTTCTGTAGGATGGTGGGCCGGGCAGCCAGAGCAGGCTTTGCTCCCTGGGGGACCGGAGGTTTGGGACTGAATGGCCCCCCAGGGGAACTGGAGGAAGACGTAGCCTTGAGACGAGGGGCCCGGTCTGGCTTGTTCTCTGCACGGGGAGAGGTCTTCTCTGGAGAACCAGTCGGGGAATCAGGTTTATTATTAGAGCCACTGGAAGACCTGCTTTCTGAATTGGTTGGCTGGGGCTTGGCTACTGACACAAAAAACAACAACAAAGAAATAAGTCAATACAAAAATGATGTATAGATGGATTATTATGTTCTGTAAGAAACCAAACAGAAACACTTGAACAGCGCACTTCATTATCAAACTAGTGTTCCTGAATTTGAACAGATGCCTCAGAAAGAAGCATTCAAATAATTGAATTGGAACGGCTGTAGGTCCTCGTTAATTATTATTATTTAAAAAAATCTTTATTCCTTGTTTATCTCAACAGATGAAACAGCTTACCTGTAGCATTGCTTTCCGGCCTGTCAGGGCTGGAAGACTGGAGGAGACAAGACAACATATATAAATACTTTATGCATTAAGTCAGAACAGTAAAAACCATTATTATACTATTATTTTGTATTCAAAACGTATAACTTGATTTCATGAGATGAATCCTAGTAAGCACAAATATTGTAAAACATATTTAGACCAATCTCTTATTAAAAATACATTGGTTGCATTCAATGTCTACAATATTTGTAAGTTTAGTGCTTTGATTTGTAGCAGAGATACTAAATGTACAGGTAACACTGAAAAGCAACATCCAAACACAAGGGGGCGCCTTTGTGCCAGAAACGCTCAGGATATAACACACACACACACACACACACACACACACACACACACACACACACACACACACACACACACACACACACACACACACACACACACACACACACACACACACACACACACACACACACACACACACACACACACACACACACACACACACACACACACAACACACACACACACACACACACACACACACACACACACACACACACCTGGAAGCCAGCCAGCAACAAGCAGATGGCAGCTTTAGTGCCATTGATACAAGGTCAGAAAAAAACCCTAATGCTGCAAACACCATAACCCTCTTAGTGCACGCTCACACACACAGGGAACTTACACTGTAGTAACACAACACTCTTACAGATGCTAAAAGAAACTCGTATTTCAACGACAGACTCACAAATAGTACACAAAACATACAGTCATGGCCCTTACTAAACTCTGTGCATGTGTGTTATCTTACTTATTCCCCCCTTACTCTATTATTACCTCTCTTTAAAAGAAGGATGTGGGCATTTTAAATAGGTGACATTTTCCCATCACATTTATGTCCTGCTTTGCATATTAGCCTTCTTTCTCGTCTTTAATCTGTCCATGCCTCCATCTCTTCCACTCTGCACTTCCCTCATTTCACCTTGTCTTGTGGAAGAAAATCCTGGTTGTTTGTGTTTTAATGTCAACATGTTGACAGGCACAATGACTAGCCTGAAGATAAACACATGTCTCAGCATCTGTGCCTGTGTGTGTGTGTGGAGGTTTCCTTTTTGTGTGTTCTCCCAGCTGGAATCCACATTGAGTTTTGAATAGACAAGTCAAGGCTGAACACCTACAGCACTTTATTCCTTAAACCAAATCACATGTAATATCTCTCGATAGCTCAATGTCAAATCACTATCATAAAAGCTTAATCCTTATTTTTGTAGGGTTTCGGGGGAAGATTCACCATTCATATTCGTTTGACATTTTCAGAAATAGCCATAATCATCCATTTTTTTTATAGATATTATAACTTGATTCCACGGTCCTAACATTATTAATTCAAATGCTCAACGTTTTACTGTGATCTTTTGTATTATTATTTAAATATTTTATTCTATTTTGTCTTTATTTTTACCTTGTGTGAATCCTGCTTTTAACTCTGACCCCGTTGCTGCTATAAACGCCTGAATTTCCCCAAGGGGATAAATAAAGTTCCATCTTATCTTATCTTATTCCAACCTTACATTTTTCATGAATTTCTAAAAAGTTGACTATCATTTATTTTGTCATCTGCTGTTTGTGATGTTTAGAAACAACAGCCAAGCGCACTGTGTAACTGTTCCCTGATGCAGCAGACTCACACCACCTCACCTTGTAGGCTCTCCTCTCCTGCTTGGCCTTCATCTCTGCCAGGAGGCCACTGCCCATCATCTGCAGCGCCGGGTACCTCCGGCCCCCCTGAGGACTCCACCTGCCGTCTAAACACTCCCAGGGCTCGTCCATAGAGTCGGGCGTCCTCAGCTCCTCGGAGCGGTCGGAGCTGCTGCTGTAGTCTGTGGGCTGCGAGCGGCTGGAGGCGTCTCTGCAGGAAGACAGGAGTCAGTAGAGAATCAGACTTGTCCATTGAGACTAACTTAGTCAGTGGGGGATATTTGTTCTATACCTGGACCTTGGCTCAAGCGCAGGGCTCTTCAGTGCCACCTTCGGAGAGGACGGCTCCTCAGGGATAGTGGCTGGTGCCGAGGCTGAGGATGTCCCCGGGACTGCAGGGGTGGCCTGGTTTTTCTCTGACTTGTCTGATTTGTCAGATTTATCTGCTTTGTCAGATTTAGTGGAACGTTTGATAAGGTTGAGGAATCCACCTTTCTTCTTCTTCTCTCCATCTTGAGATTCTGAACCCTTGGAACGTCTGAGAGGAGACAGAACGAGACAAAATACTTCAGAGATGAGCACCATCATTTAAATGTCTTTAATGAAAAACTAGATTCACTACATATGGAAAACAATCAAGTCGCAGTTTACTCTTACTGTAAGTCTGTCCTAATGTGGTATATGTTATAATTAGAATATTCATTAATTTGGGTAAAAATTCAAATGAGTCCATCCTAGAGTCAGAGGAAAACTTTTGGAAAGAACAGATGGAAAACTTAAAAATACAGGTAAAGCATAAGCCTTACTTGGAATCCATCCTGGTGACTTTTGTAGAGAAGAACTCGTCGACACCCTCGTCCACCCTTCCCATGAGGCCATTCTGCTCCCCATCCTGAGATGGAGCGCTGTTGATTTGCTGAAAGAGGACATTGAAGACAATTATTCCATGTATGGACCATCTGAAACACAACATCTACTGTTTCCATGAGTATTTGGTGTTTAGTCCACGAATGTTTTGTTCTTCCTGTTACATTCTTTCCTGAAAGTAAATAAAATGTAACCTATTTCGGGGCTATTTATGTCTTAAAAGATGAACATATCAATGCAAAGAGGCAGAGCTTTACTCACGGGTATTTTGCTGGAATGCTTTTTCTTGTTCCGGCGGGGTCGTAGTTTGGTGAAGTGCTGCAGCTTTTTCTCCTCCTCAGACGGCAGCTCCACCATCCCTCCTGGCAGTCGGTGCTCCAGTTTGGGAAACATCTGAGATGGAGTTGTTGGAGTTTTAGAACTCTCCTCCACAAGGACAGGGACGTCCTCCAGGGCTCTGTCCAGGTCAAACTCCATCTCTGTGGGTTGGACGGTCATTAGGAGGTTTGTAAGAAGACATACATTAAATGTTAGTCACCAGGTCAAGTGGCAACAATATTGAGGTATGTCGTATAACATTTAAAATAAAAACAAACAAAACCAATGGAATGCTTACCAAAGGCACGAGACACCGGCCGAAGCATTCTGCTGTGGATGCTCTTCCTCTTGGTTTTAGGAGTCATCTGAAAGAGGTTAATAATATTTAACACAGATCTGTTAACAAAATATCAAAGCTAGCTATCTAGCTAGATTGTGTCCAGAGTTTATTTGTTTACTATACTTGATTATATAGAGTGCCAATTTGCACTAATATCAAACTTAATCCTAATAATTAATTATGAATAAACTCTGGACGGCATTATCTATTTTAATTGGTACATCTTATTATATTTATATACAACTTATTAAACTTTCACACACTGGTAGCATGTTAACAAAGTAGCACATGTTGTATATTATATTGTACTGTGATCCATATTTACAAGCTGGTGATGACAGGCATAGTGCATCAGTGGAGAGAAGCAATGTAGCCGAATGCATTAAGACAAATAAGCATTTTTCCAACATCAGTACTCGCCAATGTAAATTAATTTACAGAGTGAGGGAGTGAAGAAACATGGGTCCTTCTATACTAATGTTGTCGTTTTTTTAGCTTATCATAATTAAAATATATTGTACCATGAGACTGTCTGTGCTGTAGATAAAGCTACAGCACAGACAGCTGAAGAGCAGGCAAGCACAGTGATGAGAGACAGAAAAGAGAAAGAGCAGTAAGATGAAAAGAAAGTGGATTGAAAGGAGAGTGTAGAGCGGCAGTCCAGAGTTACTTACAGTGGTGCAGCACAAAATCTCCATGGAGCAAAGATGGAAAGAGAAGGAAGAACAGAGGAAAAGAAGAGCAGAGAAAGACAACACACAGTAAAGCCTGGTGAAGACAAAAACGAAAGAGATAGCTGGGGTACCGGCTCATTTAAAACAGGAGAAAGTAGAGATAGATAGGACAGGGAGGGATATAAGATGAAGAGAGGGGTAAAACTAGAGAAACAGACAGGACCAGAGACTAAAAGAACATGCAGCTTCCTGTTCAATGCAGCCTGTATTTAAACTCATACTACAAAATATCTACATTAAAATGAGGAAGAAAACAGAAGCAACCATTCCTCTTCTAAAGATACAGGAAATGTTCACAAAGGTTGAATAAACTTGAATAAACAGTGGTAGGTGAAGTTAATCTTAATTTCTTTCAAATATTTCACTCAGTGTCCTCCCTTCTTTCCTTCTTTCTAGTCCCGGAGAGTATACGTTACTACTACACGTACTGTATACATGTTAATGACAAGTTCTTTCCAATTTTCATTCTTCTATCACATAATGAAATCTGACAAGTATTTTGGAAATATGCTTTCATAGAGTACAAATGATATAACCTAAACAGCCAATTATTAAAGCAAACGTTGACTTGAGGAGGTTCTTTAAATGAATACCAAAATCCCTTCTCAATTGTCTTTAGCAAATTTTGATTTTCCTGAAGGACTTTTTTTAAGTAGATATTAAGCCAGGTGTAATTGCTTCTTTCATTCCTCTCATACAACTAAATGTGCGTTCAGGGCGCTTGGAAATACATATTTTTTGTAAATCAAGTTCCTTGAAAAACAATTGATAAATAATAAACACTGGACGGTTAAACACACATTTCCGCCCAATCCTACCATGCAGGTCTCCAGATCCTCCAGCCTCTCGCCCTCCAGAATCTCGGTCGATGCCCGTTTAGGAATCTTCTCCTCTGGGACGTCAAGATCAACAGACCCCTGCTGCATCAAAGGGCGACCTCGCCGCACCAGGTGGTCCGCCTGGGAGGAGAAAAGTGGAAGAAACAGGGAGAAGAAAGACCGAGAGAAGCAAACGTAGGATGAGTAACGTAGGGAGTTTCAGAGAGATTCAAACTTAATGAACATCAACAAAACTAAAATTGGAAAAGGTTAAATAAGTGTGGATGCAGCTGACAATTTGTAACAGCGAATATATTTTCAAATGAACAGTTATTGTTAATAATTCAATGAGCCATTTGAAAGCATTGTTGACTTTAATCTTACCAGAGTGAGTTGGGAAGTGGAAAGAGCTTCCAAAATCTCATCAACAATGCGATCAGACAGGAAGGACGCTAGACTCAGCTTCACCTCACTGACACAAAAAGAGAAGGAGAGTGATGGTGAGGTACTGCAGCAAACCACCTGTGAAATCCAGGTTTACATGTTCTCAATACTATTCAACACACCTGATCTTGTTGATGATATCCACGCCAGACTGCTCCAGGAGGGTTTTGGTGACAAAGCTTTTGGGTACGACCATCTTGGCTGAGCTGGCCTGCATTAGCTCTGGACGAAGAGTACTCCTCTTCATCACATGGGGACACAGAGACTCTGCTGCATCCACCATAGACTCCAACAGAGTCTGGAGGGCACAAAGATAACAGATTAATGTAGGTAAACGTGTGTATGATGTGTGTATGATGTGGGGTTTGATTTAAGTCAACTCCTGGCTGACAGATTGAGGAAATATCTCTATTTTATACCAGCAAGTAACTTATAACAAATTGTCACTTATGGAAACAGCCTTGGCTTTCTAGTTTAGATTTTATTTATATTTATTTATTTTATCTGAACATAGATTTAACCATTTTATTATTAAATCACTAAGTAACTAACATTTGTATATTAACTGATTTTATTTTTGGTGCATTGTGTAGCACTAGTAACTTAGATTTGTTTTAAAGTACTTTTTAAATCAAATGAGTTATTATTATAAACAATTACATAAAGTGATTTGAAGTCATTTCCTTTGCTTTAATGGCTGTATTCACTGCCTGTAGGTGGTGCATTTCTTTAGTTTTCCTTGTATTGATTACAAACAGACACTGTTAACCACAACTACTGTACATGATAGACTTTGAATTGTTTTCATTGTTAGAATGATATCCAAGGTACTGAGTCAAAAATAAAGTCACATTCAACAATTTTTACTTAAATCATTTTGTTGTGGCTACCTGCAGCTGTTGGTCCATGACACTGGTCACCTCCCCAGCCATAGACTCCAGTTTCTCCTGGATGGGTCCGGCTGAGGAGCTGTTCACCTCCTCTCTAGCAGCTGATCCTAGGTGGTACAGGTTAGGGAGCAGCTGAGGGTAACAGAGAGGACAACGAAGGAATTCAAAGGAATGTAGAAAAGCTAAGCATGTAGATAAAATAATTGAATTCACATGAATCAGCAAAGCCTATGTAAATGATGCATCTTCTCACCGTTTTAGAGTTCCTGGCATCTTTGATAAGGTTCTCGGCTGTCCTAACGTCCTCCAATATGACGTCTGTCTCAGAGTTTCTCAGAGAGTTCAGATGGTCCTGCACCTTCACACAGATTCTGTCAATCATCTGAAACAAAAGAAAGTTTGTTTTTGAAAGGCTTAAACATGTTCAATTAATGAATAACTACTTACTGTTAGGATACCATGTTAGTTCCTAATGAATAAACAAATTACCATAAAGTTCAATGAAACATATCTTCGTCCCCAAAAGAAAAAATCTCTTAATACCTCCTCTCTTAATACTAGACCAAATATACTATTGATCTTGTGCATAAAAAGTAAAAGTTCAGTTATTAATGTCCTATTTACAGTTTTTGTTACAGTCAGACCTACTAATTCAATAATCACCTGTTGTGTGGTGGTGGTCACGATGCCCTGCTGCAGCCGATAGGCCTGTTCCTGCAGGTACTTTCTGGTTTCATGGTTCCTGTACAGATAACTCTCAATCTGGGGGGGAAACACAACGCCACTGTCATGAATATACATCAAAGTGAAAATGATAAACAGTAACAGTTTTTCCCTAAAGCTGTTGCATAGAGACTTTAAAAGTCCTGTTCACAGGACAGCTGGGGAAACCAATGAGAAATGTAAACACACCTTTAGCAAGGCATCCTCTGTTTTCTCAGGGCTGGCCTTCAGAGCCTGCGAGGCATCGTTGATGGGGATGGGCATGAAACGAATTGTGAAGTTCCTGATGGACACACAGCCAGGGGAGAGGACATTATTATTCCACAGTTGGTTCACATTGAAGAGGAAGTGAAAGAAGCAAAGATTAGAGTAGGAACATTTAAATCACAATTTGTGGTTTTAATATTACTGACTGTAGAACAATAGTTAACCTACAGTACTGTAGTGAAATGCATCCACTTGTGGTATTTTAGAACACAATCATTTATAATTGAAGTAGTCAATATCTGAATACCTAATTCATTACTAGGATAACTTGCTGTCATTAAGGTTATTGAACCATGACATATACAGTAATTATATGCCAGGGTTCATTACCATTTTTAACAATAGTGTTCTTGTATGTGTGTGTGCAAGTGTGCATGCATGTGTGTACACGTGTGTATGTATGTATGTGTCTGTGTGTGGTAGCATTGCTTGGGGCCCAGCATTTCAGCTTCCGTCACATTGGTCTATTATAGAGCAATGAACTGGCACCATTAGCGAGGTTACTGATCTTGAAATAGAGGTCACTGCACATTATTAATATTCATATCATGATGAAAAGTAAAGCAGAAGGCACAGAGAGATGAAAATGATGGCATTTGAAGGCAAAGGAAAGGCAAGAGGCTGAGTCAAATGTTGATTTATTTTGACCTTAAACACACACTGATTCATCTTTACTCAGATATTCCTGGCTTCATGGCAAACAAGCACACAACGACGCACTACGCCAGGAAACATAGTTCTAAAGCAGGTTTGACTTCTATATGAACCCGACGGCTCTTTTCCCTCGACTCTTATAGTCAGATCTGGTGTGAACATGGCCTACAAATTACTCTCTCCAACACCTTAAACAATATTCCTTTGATTTGAAAACCGCATAATTACTGTTCTCTTGTTTTTTACCTTCCTCAGCAGCTCATCACATTCCCTGTATGTCCTTCTATTGTTTGTCTCCTTCCTGTCATCATCTCTCCTCTTCCTGTCTAAACACACCTCAAGGTTTCCTCCTGCTCAACCTAAAGCCAAATGACAACTGAGGTGCAACAACACATCCAATCCCTCAGCAGCTTTCATGTAGCACTCCAGTGTATGTGCTGTTAGATTAAAGGTATAAAAGTGCACTGTAGCCTTCACATGTTGTCAACAGACAGTGTTTATCATACTGGTATACATGTATACAGTTTACACAGATTCAGAAGGAGCTACTTACTTCTCCAGAGCGGCTGCTACATCCTGAAGCCCCTGAGGACTGGTGTTGTTCCTGTCCCAGATCACAGTCCTGCACAGACAAACACACGCTGTGACACAAGCAAAGAAGGAGCTAATCATTTCAGAGAGAAACCAACAACCACTGACAACGTAAAGGCAATAGGACAGTGTGAAAGTGCAGTCTCATGTTATGTCTTCTATTGTTTCCTATTCAGGTAATTATTCAAACATTAATGAACCATAAAAAAGCATAGATGGGTTTTAGCGGACACAGGGTAAAATATATGGCAAAATATATGTATATAACTGCACTGTTGTCCATTATCATTTTTATGTATGACGTTGTGGTTATATTGGAGTAAGCACTCATGCGGAAAGGCATTTATGTCATTTTTATTAGTTCACACTTAGTTTAACCTCTATTATTTAGTATTTAAAGACAATATAGTTTATTTAAGAAATGATTTGTCACCATTTGTTGTTTTAAGTAGACATAAGTGTTTTAAAATGCATTAAAGTCAATAACTTGGTGGTTAACCAAACGTGGATGCTGTTGTCTCAACAGTTCAGTGCAGTTGTAATTATATAAAATATATCTTAATAGAAACACATATATAATGTTGCATGATAAACAATAAAAAATGTGCATATATCTGGTAACAATAATATTATAGTGTGTTTTAAATGTCTATATAAATAAGGTTTGATTGAATGATGAAGTGTTAACGCTTAAAATGGGATGGTTTCAAAGTAAAGTGTTCCCATTTTATTTTTGTCAAGGTTAAATTATTATAAGTGGTGTCATGAATTCTCAGTCTAAAACATGTATTCAAAATCTAGAACCGCAGAAGAGCTAGTAAAAGATCAACTCTATTTGTTATACTTCTAATTGAAAATCATGTAATATAGCCTTTGACCCCTGAACATGTCCTCACCTGAGTTTGGAGTTGATCTGTAGCGCCTTGGCCAACATCTTGGCTCCCATGTCCCCCATGGCGTTCCCGCCGATGTCTAACCTGGTGAGAGAGGAGTTGCTGCCGAGGGCGTTCAGAACGATGGTCAGATCACTCTTCAGCCTCGAGTCCGCTAGAGACAGAGAGGTGAGGGGCTGGGGAGGGGAGGTGGGGTTGGGAGAGGAGAAGAAGAAACGGTGTTGAGTTTGTGACAGTTTTAGGAAAGCAAGACTGCAGTGTATCTTCACCTTACGGTTCAACGAGTTAGAGTTGTTGCAAATATATCAGTAATTATAAAACTCTGTTCCTAGAGTAGCTGGTGACTTAAAAGGGCAAACTCCAATGAAACATTTATCAGTTGATCAAGTGGACTTGCGTGAGACTTTGTTAAAATGTCAGACGCATTATCATTCAAAACAGGGCACTCCACAGGGCAAAATGAAAAATTCAGCTCTGGATCAAGTGGATTCTTTTGTGATGTGAGAGTGATGTGAGGGCTTACAAATGTCCAACTGCGCCCGTCTGTTCACCAGATTTGAGCTGCTTTATGATGCATGCCATTTACACAGCTGGAGACTCCTGGGGGCCATCTTCACAGAACATGCAGAGGCTGAAAGAAGCTACTCACTGCTTGATTTAAGAGAACCTACTAAAGATTCAGGGCTGCGCCAGGCCTAGATTTAGGGTCCAATTTTTATTCCAAGAGTAATGCACAAGGACTTTTAGCACCTAAAGATTGTAAGCTGAGGACTCCAACGTCACTAGGACCTGATCATCACCCCAACTCATCGACAAGTAAAACTTTTTATTTTTCAATTGACCTTTCAAGAATTAACCTCAATACATTTGTAATGTACCAGTTCAGCGGAAAAGGGCTCTGTCAGTGTTGCATTATAACATATTATTATTATAATTCATGCATCAACATGTACTGTAAACTGCCATTTATGCTGTAGATGGATGTGGTGTATTAACTGTCTGGTGGTTTAACTTATTGTCTAACAAAACATTATATTTCAAAGGCTCATTATACATTTTCAAATGTTCTATCTGAAAAGTAACTTGTAACCATGGCGGTTTAATAATGTATCATAGTAAGTAAGTTAGAAAAAGTACAAGTCTGTATAAAGTCATTTTTGAGAACTTCAGTGACTATATGGTTGGATGAAAAATGGTGATCTTAAAAAATAATTGCATTAACAAAATCCAGTGAGAAGAAAACATGGCCATAGTTCATATAAATCTAGAGAGGCAAAAGAATAAGTTGATCTTTAATGCAGCATTTATAGGCAGATTGTTTTGGCGAGCAATGCGTGTATGGAGGATCAGCAATAACATGGTTATTAAGGCAGACATTACTGTTTTATGTCTTGTCTAAAGATGCAGAGAGAATTATTTACGGCTTGAATGTGGTCCTGTGGGGCTCCGAGCAGACATTAAACATGCTAATTTAAATAGGTACAAGTTTATGGAGCACTCGCTGCGGTCGCTTATTCTTTCTCCAGTGATGTAGAGTAGAAACAACATATTTATCACCGTGTTTCTGCAAAGTTTCTAACTGCTTAACGAGAATACAAAATAAAAACAGGGGCAAACTAACAATGCCCTACTGTAACACAGAAAACAGGTACACCAATATAATTTGGTAGCAGTATATATAAAGAAAGGAGTATACAATGGCAACATCTGTATGTTGTTCTGCATAAAAAAGTAATTAAAATGGCTGAAGCTAATTACTTTCAGCAGCTCGGATTCTCAGCTTTTATTATAGACTACAATTATGAAATCATTACCCTGGCTGTGCATGCACAACTTTTTATTAAACCTAGTAAATGAGAAAATGTATCCCAAGAGCTGCAAATAAAAGCTGGCCTTACACCAGAGACAAATTAATCGCTTTAATGATTGGCTGTACAATGATGGACTGCTGTTAATATTCGGATGAAACTAATTTATTCTGCAGTGTTTATGCAGCAATAAAACAGTCTGTGTCTTGTCTACAATCCTTTGGTAGATGAGAGAGAAAGATGGGGCTCTTACTGAAACTCTAAAATAATCATAATTATTGTTTTCACACATTAGACATTAAGATTGGGCAGTTTTTCTTCTCAATGTGTCGTTAAATTGTTGCAGATTTTTTTCACTAGTTAAACACACCCTTCTACTTCTATCCAAAACGTGTAGAGCGGCAGGATGACGCAAGCACGCACATTAACACACAACAAATGCACAATTTATTTCCCTTGTCTATAGTATCCATGCACCATACTGTAACTTATTTGATCAATAATACCTTTTTTGGAGCTTTTTGTAAGCAACTACATTCATGCCACACTACCTTCCATTTCTTATTTATTCCTTTCTATCCACCCCTAATGAACATCCTTAGACCCTCTACCTCCAACATCAGTTTTTGGGCCTTTTTCAGTAAGCATCCATTACATTTTACCCTCCTCTGCTGCTCTTGTATGCCATCTGCACAGCCAGATAACCAGCTCATAAAAATATGCTTATCTTATAGTTCACATAATGACACCCACATACACTACAGGCACTGAGAGATCAATCCAGCACAGAGCAGCTCAATAGGAACATTAATCTAACACATCAGCCACTGTGGGAGACAAAATATTTGACAGCTCCCATGATGGAGAAAGATACAATGAGTGAGATGGATTTAGGGACAGAAAGTCAGAAAAGATAGCCAAAAGCTGGAGAAGATCCCTTTATTTCACTACAGGTTTTCTGAACAAAGGAAGAAAAAGTACAGCTTATCGGGAATTTTGGAATACATAAAGAAAATCTATTTTTGGACATTGATGGACACAGGGAGGACAAATTAAAGGATGAAGGGAGTGTTGACGCTAAGCTTTTAACTCTGGGTAGTTTTGGATTCTGAATTTAGACGGTGATCAGCATACTGTAATATGCAAGATAATGAAAAGTTATTGTATATTCAAGTTTAAATAATAGGGTCAAAATAATGAGAGATGCTTCTATAACTCGCTCTTCTTTGGTGGTTTTGGTGAAAAACCACATGGTTAAGGTTAAATGTGATACTTTATTGATCACAGTAGGGTGATTATATTAACACCACCCTGCGATGGAGGGGTCAGAGGTCAGTTGTAGAGCAGCTGGTGGAGATTCAGTGAATTGCTTCAGCTGGATGCTGCCTGAAACATAATTTGACACTGAGGCATCTGTTCGGACACCGTTTATCTTCAGTCCCAGACAAAAGCCAGACAGAGAAGGAAATTAAAAACACTCACCGACTCCTCTTCCTGAATCATGTGGACCAGGCTGTCCAGCACTGGACCAAGGTTTCTAAGAAATAGAGGAAAATAGACAGCGTGGACATGATAATTGGACTAAAGTGCACAGATTTTCTATATTTAATCTACATAATAAACATTTTCGAGATTATTTTGTGCAACATCTTGGAATAAAGCATACTCTCTGGTCCTCTTCACCATGTTATTTAACTAAGTGGACAACCATCCTCAGTAAGGATATATTCAGTGCACAGTACAGTAGGAGGGAACTTGTCCTGTATTCTTACTTGGACTTGATGTTGGTAAAGTTCTTCCCTAGAGACAGGTGTCTGATTGATCTGTTTTTAGCCAGCCACACCAGCAGAGTGGCCAAGTCCGAGTCCAGGCCTGGAGGTAGAGAAACAGGTTTAAAAGTAAGAAGGTCAACATTTAGTTAGTATGAGGTTAGGGTATAAAAGTTAACTTATTATATTGTACAATAAATAAAATACCATCATACCATTGTCAGAGATGTCTAGACTAGAGATGTTTGGGATCTCTGCAATACAACCTTCAAGGATCTGAGAACCTCCCGACCGCAACTGGGAAGACAGGAGGGAGAATTCTGAACAGTTTTACACACATCAAGTATGTTTGATACATTGGTAGAGTGTGCTTTTAGAGATGTGTCTGTTGTCTGTGTTTGTTTTTAGTGTCAGGATGGAACCCTTGTCTTTTTCTCTGCAAACAGAATCTACCTACGGGTACAAATAAATAACCTGAACCTGAACCTTTAAAACGAAAATGTGTGCGCCAGACTCAACATGCATTTAGTTTCTCAAACACCACTTAGAATAGAAACAGGCAGGAGGGACTTATGAAGAGGGTTTGGTGGTTAGATGACTAACATGCTGATGGTAAAAGACACAATAAATAAAAATATACATCATCCAGAATGAGATGGCCAAGCTTACATAAGCATTAGGGGAAAGAGAGCAGTGTGTCAGAGCCATGCCAACATTTACCAGCAACAAACCACACAGATGCTTAATGATCATCACCAATGACACACACATTTGCACAAACACACTCAACAGGAGTCACATTCACGGTGCTTATTTAGCATGCAGTCAGCCCACTCAGCCCAGATGTTATGCTGCTGCCACCAAACGCCTCATTAAGACCTCGAAAAAGGATGGAACGCATCATTTCCCCCGCATCTTCAGTTTGTGAAGATTTCTATGGGAATCTGGAATTGGATTTCCTGTGTAATTTGTATTCATGCGTTATCTTTAGCAATCCCATTGAATCGTCAGCAAGCTGCCTTTTTTGTTTCGAGCAGAGGAGGAGATGAAGGTGAGGTGCTGGTGTGTGAGACATGCATGTGTGTGTAAGAGTTTTGATGAAATAATTAGGGACAGAAACTAAAACCCTCCCTCCTGCAGGCCCCTTCTCATCTCTCCCCCACCACCCCCGCCTGCTGTCTGCCAAGTGTTCCATTACAGAGCCTTTTAACTGTGTCACCGTTCTGTCAAATGGTATTGGAGTGGCTCCTAAAAAGCTGATTTCATTCAATGAGTGTTAGCTTCAAACTATTAAAAGAAATACACACTTCAAACTTTAGCTGACAAAGGCAATTACACAAATGCTGCCAATACTATTAAAGTAAACGAATGAACAAAAACAATCAAGAATATTAACAATTGCCCCTTTGAAATCCACTGGCTGCAGTCTTTTGATCACTCAGGCTCACTGTATTTTACAGCAGTACAGTTTGGCTATGTTACCCAGTAATTGCATCACTGTGTGCATTAAATGTTACAACAGCTGTGGGATCTGCTGTAGGTCTACTCTATTCTGCACCGGATCTAACAAACCCCCTGATATGTCTCGGTGATAAATGTAAAACACGCTTATCCTTAATGAGAGGCTTGAAATTCACAGCTGTCATGAGCGAATGATCCCTCACAAGCAAGGTACACATTATAAGATATCTTGGCTTTAAATAAAATGATTTATGAGGGAAAATTACTGCACAATGTGTCTCTGTCAGTCTTACCTCACAGCAGCTGAGGTCTAGAGTCACTTCCTTTAGGTTCAGATTACTGGCCAGGCCAAGTAGGAGAGCTCTAAAATAAAAAAAATGTAGTTAAAAAATATTATAAAAAGATAGTAGATGTATCATTTTGACATTTGAGAAAAGGTCATTGAGTAACTAAATGTTACATAAAAGCATTAATATAGGCTTCCATGGTTGCTTTTTCACTGTCAATACCTGAAGTCCAAAACAAGATAATACAAGTTGTATCAAAACCCATTAAACTTTCATGTATTGCAGATAAAGCTGCAGGTGCTGTTCTCTGATATAGGCAGACAAGACAAGTTTATTTTTACCGTAACTGAAAGTTTAAAAATGCAAAGCTTTACATATGGATATAGGTAATAAAAGACAAGGAGGAACAACATGAACAGTCACAGAGAATCTGGGGCAGGAGCTCCTCAGACACATTAAATGTGAATGAATTGTTCTCTCACTTGAGGGCCTCTGGCGGCAGCTTGGTTCCTGACACGTTGATGGAGTTCAGACACACAGCGCTGCTGAAGAAATGCTTAAATGACGGTGGAACCTCTTTGCCTTTCCTACAGAAAGAAAAAGAAAGCAAGAATCAAAATAATGCAGATACAGTCATTTCTTAAAATACAAGATAATGCTATTCAGAAAGCTCTCTTGATCCAACAGTAGAAAAGGCACAAATGATAACCTGAAATTCGGGCATTGAGCTTAAAGTACTCTTGCCATATAGTAAAAACCTCAGACCCATTGTAGTTTTTATCTATTGTCTAAAAAACGGTTTAAACTCCACAAAATAAGGTCTTTAGAGGGTATAACTCAATCCCCCCTCCCATTCTCTCCTCCCCTCTACCCTTGATGAAGTCCTCAATTCCCTAGAGGCACACTGGTAACAGAGAGATAATGATGGGAAGAAAACCCCACCCACCACCCATCTGTCACACACACACACACACACACACACACACACACACACACACACACACACACACACACACACACACACACACACACACACACACACACACACACACACACACACACACACACACACACACACACACACACACACACACACACACACACACACACACACACACACACACACACACACACACACACACACACACACACACACACACACACACACACACACACACACACACACACACACACACACACACACATCAGGGGACATTACATTGACTTTCATGCATTTCCTGGAGACTTATCCTAACCTTAACCATAACCAACACATGCCTAACCCTAACCCTTACCCTAACCAAGTCTTCACCCTAAAATTAATGATTCCCCTCATGGGGACCTCCTCTTGTCTGTAATGGCACGTTGTCACCAGCAGGTGTCACACCATCATTCACACCAAATGTTTAACTAAAAGGAACTACTTTTACAATACTCCCTGTAATTTTTGAGAAATCTTGAGTATTTTTGAGAAATCTTGCAAACTGCAATCTTGATCAACAAACATTGTAAGCTACAAGCAACAAGTAATGACTCTCCTTTCCTCTTTGTCAGGTAACTGATACCGGCAAGATGGTTCTTACCTGTGAGGAAAGACGCTCTTTGAAACATTAAGAACAGAGAGGTGTTGGACCGAGCCTCGCAGCAGAGCCGAGCAAACCTGGAAAACACACAGAATATGTCACCATAACATATGAGCTGCACAAACTGTCCCAAGTGTTGTGCTATATATGAAAAGGGAAGAAATAATCAATTTGATTTGAACGTCGCAACTCCAAACCTGACATCTCCTGCAATTTGTTTTCATGTGTGAGAAAAAACTAAAACATCTGTCTCGCGATAATCTGCGTGTGTAAATGGTTTTATATCTGGCAGTACGTGAGAAACACAGAATAGGATTCAGGAGCTAATCAATATGTGCAGTGACAGTGTGACAGCTGGCTACATCTCAAACTCATCAATATGCTGCATTTGGCTCCCAGACCCACATCAATACATCACATACGGTATGCAGATCACTTCACAAGCAGCAAACGGCAACACAGATTGAGGGGGTGTATACAATTGGATTACATTCCCTGCAACACAGATATTATTGTCTGGCACTTCGTCTTACAATACAGCATCAAGAGGGACAACTCTAATTGCATGTTTATTTACATAAAGCAATTGGAGGTCCTCTTTAAAATAAATGTTTTATCCATTATTTACATGACTTTACCCAGTATCTTTTGATATGCAGGAATTGATTTCAGTGTGACTCACCTGGTCCAATAAGCAGTCAGTGTTGGAAAGATCAAGTGTTGCCAGGCTGTTGGGTTGGCCAAGGAAGTGGTAGAAATGCTAAATGTAGAGCAAAACATTACACACATTGTTACAAAGGAGACACCGAGGCCACTTTTCAGGAGAATATGTTAGCAGAAGTGTGTCTGACAATCTGATTTGCCTTCTACACTGTATGCAGCTTTCGTGGAATTCAATAAAAAGGCATTTTATTTTCTCTTTTATTCTCTTACTGTTTGAGTGTATTCTATAACTTTTCTGCCGTGATATATATTTTTTGAATTTGGTCTGTTTATAACCCTGTTTTTGTACCTGACTATTTATTGGCAATACACAGTAACTCGCTGTAGCCTCGCTGTCATCTGTTGCCTGAGACTATTGTTAAATTTATTTTATTGTATAGGCTAGTAGAGGCTACATTTCAAGTCCTTGTGCTAAGCTTGGCTAACCCCCAAGCTTCTTATTTACAGACAGTAGAGAGGTATTTAGTTGTCTTTCTTAGCAACTCTGCAACAATCACTGTTCTTTTAAAACATCTTGAAGTTTAAATGGCAGACTTTTACATGTAAATTATGTATAAACCCTCCCCTGCACCGAATTTCGGCGCAAATGTTGTTTTTTCTTTGAAATCCACGTTTTTTTTTAACATTCACTTACTGTGATATGTGTGATTGTGTCTGTTAGACTGGATTCAGATGAGCCGCTGCTCTTCTACAGTGACATGCTAACTGATTTATAACTGCTTGAAAAGGACTCGACACAACTGCAACTTTGTCCTGCTTCAATCAATTAAGCGTTATTGCTACTAGCAGTAAAATGGATTAGAAACCGTGTGTATGTTTGTACCTGCATGTCGTCTCCTCGGAGGACGTTTCCTGAGAGGTCCAGATGGACCAGGCTGCTGGGGATGGACGGGTTGGCGCTCAGTGACTGGCAAAGGCTGTTCACCCCTACACACACCACCCACCACCCACCCACACCACACACACACACACACACACACACACACACACACACACACACACACACACACACACACACACACACACACACACACACACACACACACACACACACACACACACACACACACACACACACACACACACACACACACACACACACACACACACACACACACACACACACACACACACACACACACACACACACACACACACACACACCACACACACACACACACACACACACACACACACACCACTACACACACACACACACACACACACACACACACACACACACCACACACACACACACACACACACCCACACACACACACACACACACACACACAACACACACACACACACACACACACACACACACACACACCCACACAACACACACACACACACAATTTGATGTTTTGACAGCACATTGAAGGAAATAGCAGAGGAAATGAGCAGTGGGTGAAGACAGGAAAGAAAAGGATCAGAATGTAGAGTGAATACATGGAAAGTGAAAAGAGTATGCAATGTTCTCATGGTTGTGTAAATGTTAAGCCTAAATCAGTGTCACGCTATGTTGAGGGTCATATTTGTATATGCCACAAGGAAATGTATCCAAATAAACTCTTTAATATTTAACATTTATCTGACATCAATCTCATAAAGTGCTGCTATCATCCAAATGATTAGGATATGTTTAAGAGACAGACAATCTGTGTGAATGCATGGATTTCAATTGAATAGTGTGCGTAATATCGACAATCTGGGCGTACAACTGCTGACTCGCATTACGTTTGTCACATGGCTGACACACTGAACTAGCAGTAAATCATTGCATGACTGTCAAGTGACTGACATGACAAGGGTAGACAGCTTAATGAAAAAGGAAAAAGGAGAGAAATAACAGATGATAAAGAGACAAAATATTCAACAAATTGTAGTTATATTTAACTGGTCAATGATGGTCCTGCTTCAGCAAACCGACATTATTTAGATCTTCTCTTTTTGCTCTGAGCATTGAAGGCTTTTACAGTTTGGATTAGGGATGGTGCCTTTAACTAGACGAGCAGGGCTCAGTTTAAGCAGCGCAGCACACTCACAAACCCTACGCTGTGAAATATGATAGCTCTTTATCGATTTCCTGAGAGCAGAGCATGTTTACAGAGGGTCCCTAAAGATGGAACCTTTCACATTTACTTCGGATGAGAACCAAAACCTGCAAGTGATTGCAGACAATCAATCAAAAAAATGTACAAGAACGACTACGAGTGCCCCACATTTTTTTTTACAGAAGAACAATCAACCCATTTAAAGCATTTCATCAAAGGCCATTACTGAAGAAGGATTTTTCCATCATGGCGAGATGTTCGGACTTAATTGATTGAAGGAAAGTGGTCTAGTAAGCAGCATTTATGCAAATGAAAACATGCAACACTCACACATTACAAATACATCCTTTCATCTTGCTCCCTCTCACTCAGTGTTAATAGGGCACTAATTAGGTGCTAATAGCATCCCTGCACTAGGTGTGATCAGATTAGTGAAAGATGTGAATTGCATCGGATCATAGGGGAGCAGTCAACTAAAGCCAGCTGATTACAATGCAATATTTATACATGTTTTTTTGGTATGTTCAATTAATCCAAACAAGACCATTTTAAAATCATCCAGCTATCTAAAGAACTGAATAAAAAACACCTACCTTTGGGTGATAGTGAGGTTTTGGAGAAGTTTAAATGCTTGAGCCCCATACGAAGTTTGGCAAACTGAGCACCCAGGGAGGAGATACCTACAGGAAGAGAGAGGAAACAGATTATAGTTATAGTGGCTTGTGATCCGACAAAAAGGTACACCTTCTTTAAAAACACACGTTTAAATGTCTAAGAAGGTAAAATGACTAAAATGATATAGTAGGTTGGGTTTTTTTGTTGGCTAAGAACACATTCAACAAATTATTATGCTAAATGTAACATGATAACAAATAAGACAGAGATTGGTAACTCTCAATCTGTGGTTGACTGAATATTTGGTGGAATATATGTTTAATTCATGTGTCCTCGATTGACTGAGAAATCTTAGGAAAAAGAGGATGAAATATTAAACCTGTTGCACTCAATGCAATGTCACAAATCAACCTTAAATGTCATACTCTGTATTATGTTGTATAATGTTGCATTCTTAAGCTAAATCTGACTCTGCTTTATGCATTAAATATTTCTCTTTGGCGCGTTACCCTTCTCTACATTTAGAACAGAGCAGTTTCTAACACAGTACAGTGGATAGTATAATAGATGAGTACATTATACTGCATTAGAGCAGATAGCCTACCTCTGTCCTCCAGTGGGTTGTTGGCAAGATTAATGGTGGTGAGTCCTGAGCTGGGGTTGTGGGCCAGGGCAGCTGCTAGCTTCTGGGCAAAATCACTGCAGAGCGGGAAAGAGCATGTCCATTAGGTGTTTATGACCTATTTATTTATAAATGATTATTATTATGTTATATATAATTTATTTATCAAACGTTTGACGGCATAAATATCCCTCTCTTGCCATGGAAGATGTGAATATGGAAGTTATTTGAACTGACACAGGAGGAAAAGCACTTACTGAACTTACTTACTGCTACTTTGCTAAGTTTAACATTTCAAATCTTGTAAATTAGTATTGTATTTTGTCATACTTGAGAGAGCTCTGCCATTACTTTTCTACATTATGAGTTAACTGACCTTGTGTATAATTAGAGGATTTAATAGTTTTTATAATCTCACGTTTTGAGTCCTGCATTGTCCAGAACCAACTCTTCCAGCCGACTGGAACGAGTCACTACCCGAAGAATCTGCTCACACACATCTGCAGACTGAAGACACACACACACAAAACGAAATAAATGTTGTGCATATACTTTACTCTAGCTTTTGTGATAATGCTCGATACAAATGAAAAGTAAGGGTGAAATGAAAGGTAGGACATATAATGTTACATATAATGAGTCTCACACTGAGCAATAAAGTATATCTTAGCTCAAGGATCTGTTAATCAGAAGCATACCAAATGAACTAATTAACCAAACCAGCTTCTAGGCTTATGAAGCAGTTTTATCTAGAACAGCAAAGCCTGGATGGACAATGTCAAGGTGAGAGAAAACACAGAAATGTACTTTTGGGAACCATAATTCCCGCAAGTGTTGTTGTGCAGAATGCTGTGAAACTACTCCGAAAAGCTTTTTATTTATGCTAATTAAAGAAACAGCATACGAGTGGATCCTGTCTCTTTTGCTTACAGACCGTTTATGCGTGACAAGGAGGACACTGTGGACTTTAGACACTGTAGAGGGAGAAAAGTTGTTTCGCAGGACAGAGAGTCGAGGGAGCAAAGGCACTCATATTTAGACGAAATGAAAAATTCAACAGTTTGCGCCACACCTAAATGTTCACTGACCCAGTTCACTGTGCGCTGTGTCATACTCAAACTTAAAGACAAATACTGTGTGCCTTTCTGCAGTATCTCTATTTATTGACGTTACTTATCTTCACTGATTACCAACACAAACATTAAAAGGTCCCATGGCATGGCCATTTCTACTAGAATAGATTTACATTGTTCAATGTTCCTAAATCACATTGGTTTCTCATACAGCATCTCTGTATAGTATGTGTATAGTCTCTGTCCTACACGCCTTGTTGGAGCTTGTACCCCCCCCCCCCTCCCTATGAGCCCAGTGTGCTCTGATTGGTCAGCTCGCCCACTCTGTTCTGATGAGTCCACCACCGTTACAGCGGAACATAAGTGATTATGTGTTACAATGGCGTTAGCACCCAGAAAATGACACCAGTAATGACAAACAGATGAGAATGCTGCGTGTGGTCTGGGTGCCGTGTTGGCGGGACGTTGCGGGCTCGCTGCTCCGCCCTTTGAGGCTCGAGGAGCGGACAGTGTGAGCTTTTTTTATTACTGGTGTCGTTTCCTGGTTGCTGCGTGGGGTCTGCGAGACAGCGAGACACCGCGGACCTCAGCCTGAGCACACGCACCCACAGCCAGGCTGAGTGAGTGTGTGTGTGTGCGGAAATCCGCGGAGCCGCGGCTGAGAAAAGATAAGGCTGAGTGAGTGAGTGAGTGAGTGTGTGTGTGTATGTGTGTGTGTGTGTGTGTGTGTGTGTGTGTGTGTGTGTGTGTGTGTGTGTGTGTGTGTGTGTGTGTGTGTGTGTGTGTGTGTGTGTGTGTGTGTGTGCTCAGGCTGAGTTCCACTGTGTCTCGCTGTCTCGCAGACCCCACGCATAGTGACGTATAGTTACGTCACTATACTCGTTATGTCACTGTACTCAGGAAGAAAAAAATGGAAAAATAAAAATCTCCAACGAGGCGTTCTGGGGCAGCATGGACAGGTCTTTTCTGTGTTAGAGTTTTACTCGCTACAGGGTGTACTTTGAGAGTTTGTGACTTTGCAGACCGTTTACATGCAGAAAAAGCTACATAACACACAAGGGGACGGGTAATAACCAGAAAAGCATGTCATGGGACCTTTAAGCAAGATGGAAATAGAACTGTACTGGACCCTTGTCTGGTTGTGACTCTTTGTAATTGACATTCATGCTATAGGGGCAGCCAGGCGCCTCAGTGTGGCCAAAACACTGGACACATTGTCTTACACTGTTATCTACAGTGAGGGGGAGAGAAAACGAGAGAGGGGATGGAGAGAAAAAGAAAGAGAGAGATGGAAGAAAGGGACTGTTGTTCACATGTTTATTCTGTGAAACTGTGAGTATTACAGAAGTGGAATAAGAATAATGGAGGGCAGCGAGGGATGACACATAACACAGAAAAAGGACATATGAGGGTAGTATGGGATGAAATGAAGAAAAAGAGGGGAGAGAGCTGTCAGTTGAGCAGTAGCAGAGGGAGATAGGCAGCATACAAAGGAGGCTGTATTTTCACAACAAAACAGTTGTGGATGGCACAGTGACAGCATGTGCACACAACATTTTCCAGCCATTAAATAAGAGCCGTATCATGCAGTGCTTCTGACCCTACGTCCTGCTGAAATACACCACACGCGTTCACACATGAACATGCTCACACGCTGTGCGATCATGAGGTAATCAGGAGGAGAGTCCTTTCATCACTGCCCTCCTCTCCTCTTCTTCACCTCCTCTCTCACTTTCAGCTCAGCATCTTAATTAGACCACAAGACAAACAGCCTGATTGAACTGAGGATGAGCAGCATAATCCCTCGCTGTGTGTGTGACAGTGTTTGTGAGGACATGTTTGAGATTGTTTATCTACTTGATTTAGATGGTTGGACTGTATTTTACGCTCAAGGCTTCTGCGCTTAATGTTTCATATCTCTTCCTCACTCACTTTCTATTTTATTTTTCATCCTGATTTTGATCCATATACTTTTATTTTAGATACTCCCGAGTGCTCACAGTCAAAAATAGACAATATTTCAGGCTCAGTGTTGCCCTTGAGTTGAACTTTACCATGCCAGTGGATTTAGCAGGAACACCCAGTGATTTACTGCTAGAGATGACGTACTTTTTTCCAAGCTGGAGATGTGTTGTTCCTCTTCAGTCCATTTCCAGGTCTGGCTTCTCTCTAGAACTGATCTCTCTTTCCTGATACTTGCTGACTCACATCCTTATTCACCTTGCACCTCACCCATTCACCCTGTCCACTGGCCTTTATGTATCTGTCTCACTGATCTGTTTCCATTGGCACAGGATCAAAGACAACTCACGCTCCAGAGCACATCATTGCATCCCTGGATTCATTGTTATCACTGTATTAACATGCATACATAAAACAAGGGGAACATAGAACAAAGTTTCCAAAGAAACCAAAGACATTTTTTGTTTTGCATCAAACAGTAACCAAATAAGAAGACAAAAGCTGTCCCTTTGAATGACAAAAAAAACATAACCAATGTCCAAAACAGAACAAGTGGTATCTATGGCTGGATACACTACTTTGCATAAACCTGCACTGACACCTTCCAAACACAAAAACCTTAGGGTCCATTATAATACACAGTAATCTGGGATAGAAAGGGCACACGTTGGCACATGTGCCTGTGTGAGTATTTGAGCATAAATATGCACATGGCACGGTAGGAGGCAGGATTTAAAATTCAATACAAAAGGAATTGTCTGTTACGGAGAAGTGAGATAATTGTTTGGACTGAGGAAGCTGCGTGTGTTAATTGCTGAGACTGATGGAAGCGTCGAGACGGAGGGTTGGTAATGGAGTGCTGCAGGGGGGCAACAGCCTGAGACATCGAGTCCCTTTGTCTCGTTAGGATTAGGACATTGGACTGATCCTCAGTCAACAGACAGGAGGGAACAAAGGGAAAATATTCTGTATAGGCAGATACTCTCAGGCTGCAGCCACACGAGGACAAAAACGGTCGTTTGCGTTACTGTTTAGTGTCATATAGACCATTCGGCCACACGAGGACGACGGCATACGGCACTAAACGACTGAGGAAACGATAACGGGTCCCAAGGTGGATAGAACGGCATACGCAACGCTCTGGGAGGTCAAACAGCTCCGTGTGTGCGCCCTATACGATCATTTTCTGATAATGATTGCGCAATAGCCCCGCCTCTCCCCACCTCCGCGTACCCCGCGCCATTGCTGATGTGTTTCGCCACCAACAACAACAACAATGGCGGATCGCAGAGTTGCTATCGTGCTCCGGACGCTACTGACCATGCTACAGTTCTTTGTGCAACATCTACAGCAGACTTGCACATCCGGGGGGGATCTTACTCGCTGCTTTTGTGGATATGTACTGCAGCTTCAGCGATCATTTTCTGATAATGATTGCGCAATAGCCCCGCCTCTCCCCACCTCTGCTGCTCACCCCCGCGTCAAAGTAAACTGCACACTGAATTCAGATTATTTATCTTTCTCTCGATATGGACATAAACGCGAGTGAAGTCTAATCTGACAGGACGGAGACACCTCTCAAACTACCTAAACTAGTTATAAATATGTTTATTTTTACTGTCGGCCGGGTCACTCATTACTGGATCAGCTGCTGCATGAAACAGACACTGACGCTGTCCGAAGAGAGGGTGGAAAAAGAGAGGCTCCGTGTATTTGTATTATTATATTATATAGAGTCGTTATTCATTTGTTTTAAAGCTCAATAAATAACAAAGAAGACATTTGACCGGCACTTTTATAATTTTGTCGGAAGATTTCAACTTTAATTCACGTTGACTGGCGAAAAACTCTGCCCGGTTCCCTCGGCCCCCACCGCGGAGAATAAACAGAAGGGCAACCATGACAACCATGCTTCTTCGCTGCTTTTGTGGAGGAAGTTACAGTGCCACGTACAGGCTCCTGCATATGTACTGCAGCTTCTCCAGCGGTTGGAGCTAAACGGAGCGGTCTCGTGTGGACAGACACTATCCGGATAACTATTGCGTGTGGACGGAAGCTTGTTTGCGATTGCGTTTGCGTTAATCCTATGCGTTTAGCCGTTTTCGTCCTCGTGTGGCCGGGGTCTCAGATACAGAGTCAGGTACAAGGTTGAGTGAGAGACATGAAGTGTAGTAAACAGACAGTGTCGATATATTTTAAAAATTATAATGATAAAATACAATATTTGTTCTATATTTATTATATTTATATAGTATAATAATGATATAGAAAAAGTAGGGATATGTAATAAACAATAAGCAATAGCAACATATATAAAGCTTTTCCAAAAACTTGTAACAGGATCCATCCTTCAACCAATTCTCTTCAAAACTAGATTTATAAATGTTGACCTTTAGTTTCATGCCAGTTTATAACTACTATGACACAGTTATAACAATGTTAACTTATTTTGATCTTTCTTTGAGTATATATCTCCAATACTTTGGTTTAATAAATACAAGCTAAACTAATTTCCATCCCATCAGCCTCAGCTGTACTATCTTTTTAGTGCTTGTTAACACATGTTATCGTTCTATTAGGCTCAACTATAATGACGAGAATGGTTGGCACCGAGCAATACAGAAAGATAAGCAGTGAAAACATGAGCATGTACAGTAAGCATGGTCATTGTTAGCTCGTTAGCATGCAGCTCAGTTCAGCCTCACAGAGCTGCTAGCATGTCTGAAGAGTCTTGTTTAAACAGTGATTCTCCACATATTGCTCAAATAAGCTGGTGTTAGCCTTAGTTTATCACTTGAGACATTATGATAGATGGACAGATACTGACAAAGCTTTGTCAAAGCCCTCATCCTACTTTTTATGTCATGAGGAAAAATGCAACAGTAGGCATTAGTGCAGTAGGAGCATTCAAATAACGATAACCAGAGAGGAGTAGCATGAAGCCCCAATCATGGAGTTTGTTGTGTAACACAACAAACATGACAGAGGATCCGCAATTGCCTGGCCCTTAATGGCTAGCTTTCGCAAGACTATAATAACTAGGCTACGTTTTGTAGCACAGATATGATTAGTGAGCAAACCTGAGAAGGATTTTAACAAAAAGGGGTACTAACCAGTTTGTAATCCTTGGTGGAGAGCTTAGTAAACCACTGGTTAAACTCCAGGACTGCTATTATAGCGACCAGATCCCTGGGGAGGAGCATACAGGAACGAAAGAAAAGGTCATAGCTTCAACTTAAAATTGTTCTTCATTCGTAGCTGCTGACTTCAGTACATTTATATATTAAAAGTAAATCATGTGACACTTGCAATACCTTTCTTAGCTTTTCGTTGTATGTTTATACCAACAACATTCTTTGTTTCTGTGCCAACACTCACCGGTTCTCCAGATGGCTGAAGTCCTGCAGGTTAAGTTCCCTGGTGTCTTGTGTCAAATAGATGGTGTCCACATCCTGGGAAGCAATCAGTTAACCAGAGTGTTAACAAACATGTCTGCTAAATGTATTTCAATATACATTTATACTGTATATGACACAGAGCAGTAGAAACATAACAAAAGACTCAACCTGACTATATTTATTTCATTTTGGACAAGAAGGAGCAAGAGCATGAGAAAGACCTTGGGAAATAAAAAGATATGAAGGAAACTGGTACTTTATTCATATACAGTTGTCTTTCATATTTATATATAGTCTTTTATCTTCATCAAAGAGCTTTATGCAGTTTCTTTCAGCTATGTGCAGCTATTCTCCAGCCTTGAAACACAGTTGAACCAGGATCTGCTGTGCCACTGCACAAAATAATGCAAATGATACTGACCCACTGTACTTCTTCTTTGTACGGCAGCCCCAACCAGTCACATACACATCTGTACATCTGAGAAAACCCACCTAGAGAAAAGGATACACAACATTTACGACAGAAACATTTGGATGAGAATGTCCATATTGCCAAAGACCTGTTTTCAAGAGCTTATGGTGCAAACGGCATGCAATTTGAAACTTCAATTTATTTCAACACAAAGGACAATTGCGTTAATAAACTATGTAAAACTACAACACTGTTGATGTAAACTCATTGTAAACTGACTGTACCATCACAACTCACACACATTACATGTTACTAAAGCATTGCCATAAGGAAGCACACAGTAAAACACACAGACCACAGGGTCCGGGCTCGGCCGGCTTGTTGTTCTCCCACAGAGTCTGCAGAGAGGTCAGCCTGTCCGGAGGCTCCATGGTGAGCTTCTTCATAACTTTACTGAGAAGAGAAGAGAGATTAAACAGAATTTAGCCATCCCATTTCTACATTTCAACAAATGTTAATGCTGGTGAAATGTTCAAAAGCTCTTAATCCCTTTAAAAGCAGCTTGAGGCTACTTTCTCACAGTCTTACTCGTAACAGGCATTTTGAAAGCAAACGTGCTGAATACTCCAATACTAAATTTGATTTAACTAGACCACACAATTAATGTCAAATAAAATCGTATCAAATATGACGCTCCAAAATACAAACATCAGCCTCATGCTAAAGTCAAACACCTTCTTCTGTTCGCAAGACCAGGTTTAAAAGTGTATGGTTTTACATCTGTGACCATTTCTGCATTTATATTCATGCTTCCTGTTCACAAGATAACTTATTAAATAAAGTTCACATCCACATAACACTAGATGCATGACTTTTTGGACATGTATGCACTGAGACTGAACCACAGCAACATTTAGAGTGAAATGTTTCCGTCTGTTGCACCAGGTTTAACTCCAGGAGCGTTTTTTGTTTTTAGGAAATATTTAGAAAAGCCACAAAGTATAACATGCAAAACCTAAAAGTACGAGTGCACAAACTCACACGAATCTCTAACCATGACTGGTGCATTGAAATACATTCAGAATAAAAACAGCTAAACTGTTATGCAGTACATGTTAACTCACCTAGGTGGAAGGCCGGGACATATCCTGAGCAGACAGTTTCCTATGTGAGCGACCACCTCATTGACCTCCTCTGTAGACAGCAGCTTCAGAGAGAAGGAGCCACGCTCGTACTCTATGAAAAGCTAAAAGGAGACATCATTAATTAGTGATGCACAGAGGCATGCATGGTTTCACCCGAACCTGCTTCAACCACAGTTATACTTATTTAGATCAAAAAAGGGTTAGTCATCCTTCTTTCTTTACTATGTTCCATCCACTGGCTTTGAAAAATAAATCTACCACTTTTTTGTCCATCTACTCCACTGATCCTACCCACTAATAATATCATTCATAAGAAATAAACCATCTCCATCTATCCACTCAACCAAAATGTACATCCCACATCTTTGTCCTAAGTTAACGTAAAGATTTAATGACATTTACCAAGACTGCATAACCACATCAGCGCTCTCTCAATTATGCAAATGCTGATGTAAGGCGATACATGCCTCCTCTATAGGCCACAATTAACATAATCCTTGCTGATGCTTATTCAACATGGGAGACCATCAGTCAAGATATTAAAAGGACTGACATCTCTCCAGAAGAGCGGGAGAGAGGTTCAGCTGCAGGGGCGGTAAGTGACGGATTATCATATTTTGTAGGTAGATCCTGCTGACTGACAGCTGGCCGGCACTGGTTAAAAATTCAAATGCAAGATCTTCCCAGATGGGAAACATCTTTTGAGGATACAGTCTGTCTCTTACATTAATCAGTTTTATTGATTATTCTAGCATATTTTGCTTTCCATTATTTTAGTGTAGTTCACTGTCTGTCCACTACAGTTCAGTTCAAATCCAGGCTGAAGACTTTTCTTTTTGTCACTGCTTTTAATTGAACTATTCATATCTTAGACTGCACTGTAACTTTTATCCATGTATTTTTTTCTTTTAATGTTTCTTATATTAGCTTTTCTTTTTAATGACTGATTTTAAATGCCATTTTCTTAATGTTTTTAATTTTTTGTAAAGCACTTTGAATTGCCTTGTGTTGAAAAGTGCTATATAAATAAACTTGCCTTGCCTTACAGTTATTTGTACCAGCGTTGCTCTTAAAATGTAGAAGTTTGGTACCTAAATCCACTAACATCCCTCCTGCTCAGGTTTCACTTAGCAAGACACTAAAGTATCTCACATTGGATATTATATATATTGTTATTTGGTGCACTCAGTATCATGGACAATGTTTTGGTGGTCATATTGTGTACCTGTGTAGGCTTGTTACAAGCAATCCCCTGGACCTCCAGGTAATTAAAGCAGTGTTCCACCTACAAAAAAGCACAGAAATCACCATTAGAAAGCTTGCACACTGTCAGATATACAGTAGGCATGACCTGGTAACATCCTAAGCTAAAGGAATAATGCAATATTCAATGATTATCTGAGTTACTGTTTATTACAGAACATAAGGTATGTTACCACACTGTCTCCGACCTACTTTGAACAAAAGGCAGCTTTTAACAACATTCACGATAAAACATTTATTTAAAACTGCAAATATATGTTTACATTCAGAAAATGTAAAACAGTAGTTGAATTAGCAGAAATTGAATGAATGTGCAAGTGTGGCATCCATGTGAATGTGTGAGACCATTCAGTATGTATACTTCATCTTTGAGAGTAATCGTGCCTAATAATAACATCAGCCAAGTGAAGTTGACTGTCTGTCTGGGGAATGCTGTCTGTAAATATGTCTGTTCTATAATGAGACGATATGGATGCAGTTGTTTCTTCTTGCTCCTGTGCAGACTACTTCATCACTGACTCAAACATTTACATTTTATTTCAGGGCAGCAATAGAAATATTGTTAGATAGAAATTCAAACTAAGGTTCGGTAATAAGATAGTCACCTAATTGTTGAAATAAATCAGTGTTCAACCCGTTATTTTCTCTCAGCAAGCTGAATTAATAAAAAATGCAGCCACTCTGGGATACACTGTTCATTTGCTAAGCATTTGTTCTTAATTGATGGCAGATAAATACGGAGAGGACACACCTTGAGCATTCTCTTTTCTCTTCAGCTTGCCTTCCGAATTGTTTGAATCTACAAGCAGTTGATTTCAGCTTTGATACGAAATGAAAAAAAAAAAAAAAAAAAAAGCAGCTGTCTGCCTTTCCATCCCTAAAAAGGAGAGGAACAGATCTCCTTTAATGAGAGTGGGTGAATTTGTGAATACAAATGCCTCCCACTGTATACGGAGCAGACAGTTCCCTACACTCCCTCTCCATCTCTCTCTCCTATTCTCAAACACAGACGTGGTGCCGTGCCGGAGGGCAGGCCAGCGAGCGAGGCCAGACTATTCCAGGTGGGCTCAGTGTTCCTGAGGCTTGGCTGGGAGATGAGAGGGGGGAGAGGATACAGACTGTATGCCTACTGTCTGAATACAGTATGCAGTGTGTGTTTATTTTACAGCACTGCTTGTGGTTCCTATCTCATGCTCAGTCTACAAGCTAGAAAATACTCCATATGCGAACATGCACACACATAAGCATTAATTTGTATTTAGTTACTTACTCGTGTGGAAATGAGTCTATTAGACTAAAACACAGTTCAAAAGAAATCCAAGCTCGTTCAGATAAAACCAAAAAAAAGACATTTAGAATTTAGCAAAGCAAAGGGCCAAAAGAAAACGATGGATTGATTCAAAAATGTTTTAGTGATGTTTAAAGCAGACTATGTTTCTTTATCTGAGAGACCATAGCTTACAGTATGGTGGCTAATGTTAGCAAGCTAAGAGAAGGTCAAATGCTTGGAGCTCTTTCAAGAATATCTATGTGCCACACTATTTGGGCAAATTGTTCACACATTGTGTAATATGCTAGTAAATGATGCTGTAAATGTGTTCTAGGTCACATTGGGATGTTTTTTGTGTTACATTTTTACAGTAGAGTTAAAAAATGGCATTGCAGAACTTTTTTATTTATTTCTGACATGCAGGATAGTACTGATTATAATAGTTAATAATCTATCAAAAGTGTATTACCTATGTTTCATAACCTACTAACCCAGGTATAATGGGAAAGTCAAGTTAACAGACCTTGCATGTCTATTCAATGTGCAGACACCAGGTACAGTATACAAGCTGGCACAGTAGTACATTCACAAGTTCAGGACTCTACTATTATATACTGTATAATATAACTATTTTGCTCTGTTTTAGAATACACAGGGTCAATCAGTTCACTTTACAGAGCAAGGGCTGGTATGATATTCCACTGAATTGAGCGCCAGATAATCATAAGTGAGCACTGATGAATATGAAATCCAGCCAATGGCTAGACTTCACGCTGGGAGGTGTAGGGAGGAACCAAATGTTAGTGATTGCATTGTTCACTCAGTCGTTTACAGTCCGTCTGTCATTTTATCACAACCTCTTCACTTTAGTTTTTTCTGTATTTTCATGGAAAACACAAGTTAAGTATGTTCATGCATGATTTTTCATGTACAGGAATTTAACTGTAGATGTTGGGATTTATAAACATTAACCAGGACGTGAGATTTGTCAGGTTTTATGGGATGGTCTGCATTATGTTATCAATTGCTATGTAATGTTGTCTGCGTTGTCCAGCCTGATCTTTTGTTTTAAAAACTCACAAATGTCTGAGATAAAGCAGAGAGAGATAAAGACGGGGTATACAGGTATGTGGAAAATACAGCAACAAGAGGCTACAGAAAAAAAGAGTCAGGGGAGAGAGAGAGAGAGCATGTGGGCATGTCTGGGAGGAGGCACTGACAGACTGTAAGGCCCTGCAGCCTCTCAAGGGGAGCCAACCATCAATTGGAGGTGCACAAAGGAAACCTTGGGGAGAAGTGAATGAGAGGGCTATAGGGGGAATTTCTACTACTAAGAAAGTTACACAGAAAAGTGTTAAACTAAGGGTTTACTGCCACTGCAATGTATTTACTGGCCTTGAGCTTAGAAGATTAAACTGTTTTTGCTTGACTGTCTCAAATTGTAATGATTGTGTGCATTGCTTGAATTTCACTTAACAGAATGTATGTGGTTTGTCTTGTGTGTCATGTTTTGCATTTTGTTTATGTATGTCTGTAAGTTGTTGCTATTGTCGGGACCCTCTTGAAAACGAGATGGTGCATCTCAAGGGGTTTATCCCAATGAATAAATGTCTATATATAAGAGCAGTACTGACGAAATCCACTCCAACTGATTGCAGGGTTTCCCACACATAGACTATACTTGGGCGGGCCGCCCAGGTATATTAACGGCCGCCCAAGTATATTTCGCGACCCATTTAGTTTTATTTTTTTTTTTTTATAAAACATTTTTTTAATATTTTTTTTTTGTATTCGTTCGTGACCACGACGCCATCTGCGATCAATTAACTTGTAGACAATGATCCCTCGCTCCCTTGCTCTGATCTCGCCTCCTTCTGGCCTGTTAAGTAAACTGCCTCACACAGGGTGACTGGCTGTCCACATGATGTGGCCTGCCGACATGGCCACTGTCATACAGACCATAAATCAAAGCCCTTGATTGGTCTCTGTGTGTCATTCAAGCTTCAAGGGATAACCTCAGCTCAGGTGAGGTAAAGGACTCTCTGAGTGTTTAGATAGTTAACTTAGTCTAAGTTCTCAGTGGGTCTCAAACGGTGTGGTCACCATTTATGTAAACACATATTTCCATTTGAGAGGGTAGTGATTGGTCTAATGGATAGTGAGGTGGGCTGAAGATCGGAAGGCTGTGAGTTCAAATCCCGCCAGGAACACCACCACTAGTGTGCCCTTGAGTAAGGCACTTAGCCCTTAGTTACTCCAGGGAGAATGTCCCTGTAATCGGTCATTATAAGTCGCTTTGGATAAAAGCGAAATGAAATTAATGTGATTAGTAAAATATGCATGAATAAATAAATAAAAAGTTAACTAGGTGAAAAAAGGTAAGATACACTTTTAAAACTTGTTGAGAGAAAACTAGTCTTTGCTGCTGCCTCAAAGAGGAGCAGGGGGGAGAGGAGGGAGAGGGGGGAGAGGAGGGAGACAGGAGAGGCTGATTCAGGAGCACAGACACACTCGCAACTATAAATGAACCAAAACTAAATTAATAAACAAGTTTCAGTGTTTTTTTCATATTGGATATGGTAGGTTATTGGTTATGGCCTTGATTTTATGATTATTGAAATGTATACAGTTCTGTTAAATATAGGTGTTTCCATAGATCTAGTCTCTTTATTTTCCCCTCAAAATGCACCAGATTGATGCATTTAACTCCAAAATAAAAAATAAAATCTTACCGGGGGGGCATGCCCCTGGACCCCCCTAGAGGATTTGAGGTCGACCCCCACTAAAAATCACATGGATAGGTTCCTAAATACATTAATAAATACATTTATTTTTTTAAATAGTAACCCATTTCCATATGTTCATGTGTGGGTAGTAGATTTAAACTATAGGGCTATCATTATGGGCCCTGCCTGTACCTGTACCTGTTCGCTCTGCCATCGCGTGAAGGGTCTGCTAACAAGCGACCAACAGAAAGGTTAATGTTGTTGCACGTCACCTCAACCCCCCCCCCGCTACCACCACCCCCCAAAGTATATTTCAGATCTGTGGGAAACACTGGCAGTTAATGGACCAGCACCAGAGGCATTCCCATACACACAGGCGTTGGAGCTGTTCTTCATGAAATCCCAGAAGGATGAAGTGCTCTGACAAACAGTGCCATCTTTGCGCAAAATTATTATACCGCAATGAAAAGTCAATACATAATGTTGTTAAAACTTTTCTTTTTTTTTCGCGCACCCCCCCCCCCCCCTTGCCACCACCTGCCCAAGTATATTTAATATCTGTGGGAAACACTGGATTGTTCTCGTGTGTGTTTAGACGCAACTCTGGGATTCCAGACAGAGCATAAACTCAAATGGTTAAAAGCATCAACAGCCATTATAATCTAAGCTGAGATTCAACAAAACTGATTTAGCAGTAAACTAGTAAACTGAATATACAGAGGATGTATACAGTCAATAGCTCGTGTGTTGGAACAATGAGCAGAGGCTAATCTTCATTTACAGTTGACTTATCTCCACTGTAATATAGATTTTACATTACAAAAATCAATACCAAGGAGAAATACTATACCAGTCAGCTTTTTTTATCAATCAATCAATCAATGTTTATTTATATAGCCCAAAATCACAAATGTTACATTTGTCTCAGTGGACTTTACAGTTTGTACAAAATATCAGTATGACAATACGACACCCTCTGTCCTTAGAAGGATGTTATGTATGTTGTTGTGTGCTGCAAGACACTCACACAACATTTGCAATACTGGTAATGGGAAGATCTGAAAAATAACATGTTTTTTTTATTAAAACCTTTACATTTTGGAATTTTGTTGCAGAAAACAAGCCATTTTAAACATTATATTTGTAATGGTCTTTTAAACACAGATAAAGATGAATTAATAATGTAAATAATCTATTAAAGTGGATTTAAGACAGTGTAGGTTATCCCTGCTGACCTTTGGCACAGTGATGAGAGGGGGAAGGAAACCAGATAGATAAAAGGGGAAAAACACAGAGCGAGAGACAGGGATGAAGAGAAGAGGAAGTAATTTGGTTTGTTGGAAAAGCAGCAGAAAATGAGAGGGAGAAAGCTTGACGAATGGCTTAAAGAAAGAAGGAGAGCAGAGGTGATCTGATGTTGTAATCTCATCTGGCTAAGCAGAGCCAGGGAAGAAAGGGGTAGAGATTTTACGTTTTTTTTCTGAACAGAGGAATTCTGCTTTTATTGTGGAACAACAACTCAGAGACAGACATACTGTAGCTACTTCATGCCTCATCACCTTAAGTGAATATATTCAACCTTAAAAAGGGCCTCTTGCTTCTACCAAATTAAATTCACACGATGCACCTTCAAAATGTTCCATAACAAAATGCTGCAGCAAGATAAAAGTACAACAAAGAAGTAAATACAATTAGAGACAGACTTCTCGAACAGTACTGAAGAAGCGAGGAGCGTTGTTGAGCAGGTGTGTAATCCCTTCAACGCACAGATAGAAAACAGATGCAGAGGCAGCTAAATCAACAGATCCTGAACCTGCAGCTCATAACACTGGAAACATCTGATGTCAGGTGAAATGGGGTCAGCTTGAATATTCTTTATGGCCTCTTCTACCCAGAGTAATACCATAAATCAGTTTTCAAGCTACTAATCAATCACCTAAACTGCATCGTATTGACTAGAAGACAAACAGCTTTTTGAAGGGAAGTTGTTAAGTATTTCCTGGACCTGTTACAAGAGATGATGTGATGTTATCACGTGGCTTTGGAAAAATACTGTGAAATACTACTCTTTCCTACCAGGAGGACTGGTTTGCAGTCTGTTTTCATATACAGTCCCAGCGCAGTTTCCTTTTGTGAATGTGTGCTTTTGGTTTTTGTGTAAAATGATGTCGACATGATGTATGTGACATTTTATAGCTGCACTGCTGCACATTCAAATGAATGAGAGGTTTTACATTGTTACATAATTAAGATATATATATAATATACTTATTTATATAAATAGTTATCAACGCAATAAACCGTATTTAATTGTGTCTTAATTTACATTATTTGATTTCATATTCTGTTCTTGTACATATCATATTCTATTGTATGTATGTATATAGACTTTTTGCACTACTTTTTATTTTGTATTTTATTATATACGTTGGATTGTTGGAGGAGCTCAGGTCATAAGATTTCCATTGCCATTTCTAGACTGTAGCCTTGTGCATATGACAATAAAACCTTTGAATCTTGAATATTGAAAAATAATTGTGATATTTTGGAAATCTTTCAAATAACTACTAAGCACATTTTGAGGGCAAATTGTTTTGTGTATAATAAACTTTCAAGTCCCTTTTTATATCCACTTTAGTGTTGTCACGATACCAACATTTTGGTTTCGATACCAAGTCAAGAATTGCGATTCCGATTATTTTTCGATACTTTTCTTAAAAAAAGGGAAACAGTCTTAAATGTAATTATTGTGCTTTATTTCACACCAGAACCATAATAAACTTTTAAACAATGAGAACAATAAATAAAATAAATTACAATAATTCGTATTAAATCAAATTAATACATTTCTTACAGACAGGCCTCGTGGTGTCCGTAGGCTTGCCCTCACTGTCAGAGATATAGCTCAAATACGTCCACATTTAGCTTCTGGCGTCTTTTTTGTCAACAAGCCGAGGCGCAGCGGCAGTTGCACTCCCACTTGCAGCCATGTTTCTCGCTTTCTCACATGCTCTGGCAGCTAGCGCGTGCACGAGAGAGGGGAGGGACTTAGAGCGTGCTTGAGAGGGGAGGGACTGCAGGCACGGCTGCAGAGCAGGGAGTGGAAGCAGAGCGCTGAACACTCTTATTAAAACAGCGCTTTCTCATCGGAGTACTTTTCCCCGTCATTCTTAAAGTACCGATACTAATGAAACGGAGGAATCGTAACGTTTTTAACGGCAGGGTATCGCGGTACCTTTCAAGTATCGATACACCGTGCAACACTAATCCACTTATCTAGTTTGAGAAGACGTTGAAAAAGAGTTTGATAAACTATTCAAATTATGTAGTTGACCTAAAAGTGAAGACATATTTTAAAGATATTTACTCATCTGACATCATGCAGTATTTTGATTTGGAATTAATTTATTGTTGCTGCTCTTACCTTTGCTGGAATGCGTGCTGTCAAGAGGTAGGCTCGGTGGGATGCAAGGGCCTGACAAGAGAGGGAGAACAGAGAGAATAATGAGTATGTAGCTGTAAACACTCTGACCAACACGCATAGGGAAATGACAAAGAGCGCAGAGCTAGCCTGTTGACTCATCCAGAAAAAAGGCGTGTGACTGCAACACATTTCAGTCAGTATGGAAAGACACAAAATACATGACAATGAAAATAAATTATGTTCTCTAAAAAAAACGTATAAACAGACAGTGACATTTACAGAAGTGCCTGCTCTAAAGGAAGCCATGTTGCCATTGTTTTCATTGAACCACTCCAAATGAGTTGGCAATTACAGGTCAGTATGTGTGATCTTATTTGTGTCTTTCTGTCTGCTGAGCAACCTGTGAACCGGCTGCCACTGTTACATTAATTAGAACACATGGTGAGGACTTAGCTGAAGAGGCATTACTGGAATGCATAATCTTGACCTTCCTATCCAGACGAGCAGCCTTAAAGGGCCTTACATCTGGTTCACTGAGAATGCCATTAAATGTGATACTGTTAGAGATGATAGATGTGGTAACACTAGTCTCTGGTAGTCAGTATATTAGAAAACATTGTTGCAAATCTATCTTATCGTTACGTATACAGTCTACGATAGAAATATGTGGTAAAGATTTGCGCCCTACACAATGTGCCATTACACTGGACTTTCAAAAATGTTAACACTATCATCTACCCTCTTGACCAAAAACATCCCGGTTGTTAAAAAAGGAATGGGACACTATCATCACAGCTAAAACCTCAATACTCTCGTAGCAAGTCATGTCTTTTATCATTTATTTCACTCTGCACTGACAGCATACTGGAATTAAACTGTATGTCATATGCTAAATGTCACCACTGTACGGCCCTCATGATAATCTACTTACACCTGTTGGTTTTGTGTAAAAGTCTCAAAGGAAGTGAAAATGTCAGGGGATGAAAGAGGGAACATAACAAGGATGAAAGGAAGAAAGAAGAAAAGCTGGTTTAGAGGGGATACAACATACAAAAAGAGGTGTGTAAGGGCAAGGAAGGGAGTAAAGCAGGGGTGTCAAATTCAAGGCCCGTGGGCCAAATCCGGCCCGCGACTTAATTCAATGTGGCCCGCAAGAGCATGCAAAGAATATAATAAGTTTATTATACGGTTACACGCCACTTTACAGGAGCACGTTGCCCATAAACTACATGTCCCACAATGCATCTTGTTTTGTGACATGCGCACTGAAGAGACTTGCAATTATTTGCCCTGGACTTCTGCTTTCAGACGTAGTTAATGATGAAGTTATTACCCTATCCGATAATAATCCAATGCACAGGAAGTTATGTATTATAATACATTATTTTATATATATTAAATATATATATGTATATTTATAAAGTCTTAAAGTCACAACCGGCCCTTTGAGTGCAACCATAATGCTGATGTGGCCCGCGATGAAATTGAGTTTGACACCCCTGGAGTAAAGGAATAAAATAGTCTGAGAGCACACCATAAGAAACAAGTTCAAGTAAAACAAAGTCCAGGATGAAGGGCAACAAGGAAAGGGAAAATAACTGAAGAGAGAAAACAGGATTAAGGAAAGTCTTGAAACTGTCACAATCTTTTTGAAAATGCAAAGAAAATAGAAAGGATGACAGTGTGTCCCAGCCCTCTGCGGCTCAGCTCCACAGGCAGGGTTGTGAGGTTTGATGTGATGGAGGCAGGCCTGTGTGCCCAAAGATAACCTCTCCTGAAGAGCACCAGTCTCCACTGCTACCATCAACTCTCACCATGTCTCATTTCTGTGCAGCAGCTCTAGTTAAAATACTCTGCATGCAGATATACTGGTTATGGAATTGTTTCAGTTAAAAAAAGATGGATTACTATTAGATAATCTTAAATTAAGGTCTTATTTTTATATAGGTTTGGCCATCAGTGTTCACAACATTGGATTCCCTGATCATTTAGAAAAGGGTTATTTTTAACCTATACCAGAGAAAATGTCAGAATGTCACAATCTTTGGTGCAAAGATAACAAATAAAAAATAAAAGTTGGAATGGCCCTAAACTGTATCATCATCTGACTCCCTATTACTTGCCCTGTTGGACCTCATTATCAATGTCACTTCAGCAATCACTTTGGTGCAATCAAAGTTATGGTACTCAAAATAAGTTCCAAAATGTAATTATATTATACTGTAGTATTGTCAACAAAGCAACAGTCTTCAGTCTCTCAGACGTTGTGGGAATAAAGAGTTTGGCTGCCTAGACATCAAAGATAGGGAACAGACATCCGTGACACAAAAAAACCCTTCTATCTTCCGTAGACAGGAGGCCTGGTTGTGTGTGTCGGACAGCAGAAAGTCATAGTTTTATTTATTAATAATACATTAAAAAAGCACCAGGTTTTATCAAAGGACTTCTGAACATCAGAGGGGTTACCCGGAGTGAAATAGCTGCAGTCACAACAATGACCAAGAACCGCTGACTGTACCAACTGACCACTGAGGCTTCATCTTTACTGTCCAGTCTAGAGAGTGTGGTAAATAATTTCATACTTAGTCAACTATTGCATTAAAGGACATGTTTATGACTTCCTTACAAATTGAATTCAGTGCACTTAATGGCTTGTTCAACCTGTATTAATACTGATTCATGTTGGGTTTCCTTCAGTTTTTCACCCTCCCCCTGTATATGCATGGCTGCCCCTCTGCACTTTGCCAGGACTCTCTCCATCTGCTCTTTCAAATGGACACAGCCATATCACCCTCCTGTTTCATGTCAGAGTGGAGTTCACATTTCACAAACTCGTGAAATATAATGTTGAGTTTCTTAATTGAGCTTTACTAAAGCTGTCTGTTATGTTGTTAACTGGAGCTGTGCATTCACCTTGTGTTGTATAAGACTTTTGAAATATTTTTCTTAATGTTGATATCGTCCCATAAGGGAAGGGTGTTTTTCTCTCTCTCTCTGCTGTGACTTAAGTTGACTTAAAGCCTTGAGCCATCCCATCAGCAACTGATTTCTCAGCGACCATCATCCCGCCTTCAGTTCCACTCAGCCAACCAGATGGCAGCAGCATTGGAGCATGTCCACAAGACCAGAGAGCATCTGCTGTCACGCTCTCTCTCTCTCTCTGACTCTGACTCTGACTCTGACTCTGACTCTGACACACACACACACACACACACACACACACACACACACACACACACACACACACACACACACACACACACACACACACACACACACACACACACACACACACACACACACACACACACACACACACACACACACACACACACACACACACACACACACACCACACACACACACACACACACACACACACACACACACACACACACACACACACACACACACACACACACACACACACACACACACACACCACACACACACACACACACACACACACACACACACACACACACACACACACACACACACACACACACACACACACACACACACACACACACACACACACACACACACACACACACACACACACACACACACACACACACACACACACAGTATTACCATTCCCAGATTATCTTTTTTCCTGTCAAATTGTCAACCCCACATACCCCCCCTCCAACACACATGTGCACACTCACACACTTTGAGTTACTATGGTAACAGCTAGCCCATACTTCACACACACATTTGTGAATACATATTCACACATACACACAGTGCTAGACCCTCACACATGAAAGAAGCTCGCTGCAGAGCCAAGTCTTGCTTGAGAATGTCAATGAGTTTTTACCCCGTAAACCAGATTCACGCTGGCCTACAGTTAAGCTTCCTCCCTGTAGGAAGCAAAACAGAGCAGTGTTTCATCTCATTCAGCTGTGGCAGCATTGCAGGAAATCTACCCCCACCAGAAAAATGCTTTTATTCATCCATCATGTCTTGGGGTGTATTCACACTATTACACCACAATTTGTTTCGGTGAGAGCAATATCATTCAAAACCCTGACGGTACCAAAAAACATTATAAAAAAATTCTACCTAAAGGGTTAAGCGGTTTAGTGATCCATCACAAAATAATACACACTCATACTGGTTTAATTCAAGTTTTCACATTTACTGGTTCTAGTTTCATAAATGGAATTATTTGCTAATCTTGGACTGTGGACTTAACAAAACAAACAATTGTTGGCAAAATGATCTTTGGCTCTGGGAAACTGTGAGGGTAATTTCCAATCATATCTTGACATTTAAAAATAAACAAAGCAGTGAAAAAAAACCCCAGACACAATTACATTCCTCCCTACACCGCTGCTGACACAGACTCTTTATTGCATAGCTAATGCCAGTAGATCCTGCATGCGCATTTGTGTCTGTGCGCAACATTAATGAGTCATGATGTGCTGGCTGCAAACCGAAACTGTCTACACAGCAGAGCAGGATGAGAGTATTTTTAGGAACATGCAAAAAAAAAAGAGAGAGAAAGAGAGAGAGGGAGATCGGGCATTGAGGACAGCATGTGGGAGACGGAGCGTGAGAGAGTGAGAGAAGCAGAGGCGGATGAAGGGCAAAGAGTGAAATTACTTAATAGATTCTAAGTGCTGTTATGCTGATAAGGAGCCCAGATTTAAATCCAATCAGAGAAGCAGATATTTAATGAAGGGAAGTGTTTAAAAGCCGTTTCATCTCGGTTTAAACCAATGCTGCTAGGATGACCCCATCTTAGCATTTGAGAAATCAATCAGCTGCTCACCATGCATTCATTCATCTTCTCCTGCACTTCTTTCCTCTTCCCTCCCATTATCTCTTAATGTCCTCATCCTTCTTTAGCCACATCCTTTCTTGCGGGATTATAAACAATCACCTTAAAACATACTTACACTATATTATATAACAGGTTATAAATGGTAAAAAGGGCCATGATGTGCATTTGTTGTTGTCTACAATGTGAGACTTTATGCTGTGGAATGTATGACTATTGGATAATCAAACCATCTCTGCACAGTAAAATCCATTCTGTG